CAATCGTCAACTTCCCTTACTTAGTTATGCATTATTATACCTTCATCATCTGCGTACGGAGTTTATATCTCTCAGTTGATTTGATAAGCAACAGCATGTTCTACGTATGTACAACTTCTAAAATGAGATAAATTATTCAGAATACGTTGACGAAACAAGAATTTCAGCAGTTTAAAGTAATAAATTTTTAAGTTCTATGGTTGATACAACGACCTTGTCAATTTATCTTTACAATAAGGATTGTACAAACCTTACAATTTATCAATCAGTCAAATGCTGACTGACGTTTTTCATACCATTGTTAGTCCATTTTTTACGCACTGAATTGACGATGGATTTTCCCGATCATGACAAGGAGCACACGGCGGTGTGACTGGTCTGCAGGGGATACTCACTCCTCCATGATCTCACCTCTGATTTTTTGGAGGCTCATGTTTGCTCTACTCCTATTTCGTAGTGTTTTTAGATTTTTGAGTTTGAATACTGCATCTCCAAATTTATCACTTCATATACTTCATTGAACAGTTTTAGGATTTTAAATTTTCCAAAAGTTCTTTGGTTTTTTTCTTTTAGAATTTGCATTCGATTTACATCATTTTTTCTAGAACATAAACCTCTCCTGCTCAGCAGTTTATATTTGAGTGAGAAATAAAGGTAAGGGCTTGTTTGAACATCACTTGGACCCTTTAATATATCTTAAGAGTTACTAAGAGGGTTATCCTAGATGAAGTGATAGCTTTCGGGTTGTCATTTTGAGTTTTCTTTACGTTACTAATAATGATGTACCCAGCTGAAATGAAGTTGAAAGAAGAGGAAGAACAAAAAAAAAAACTTTAGGAAAAAGGAAAAGAAGAATTTTGTTTTAGATGACAGTCGTTTTTGTTTTGTTTTCTTTTAGTCAGCAGGGGATGTTCATCCCTACATGGCACTTCATCTCATCTCTGATGTTTTGGAGGTCGGTGTTTGCTTTGCTCTAAAATGTTTATATTTTATTGGACTTTTGAGCTTGAATATCGTTCGTTATCTCCATATATTTCACGATCAATAACTAAGCACAAAACTACCGGAGTATGTAAAGGAATGTAAAAAAAAAAGTTTTATTATCAATATATATTGAACGATGGGAAAGAATTTTATTTGTGTTTATTTGCAAATTCATGAAGAATGAATCATTGCAACTATCAAATCAAGCTGCAAAATGGACTTCGGTATTCATTTTTTGTACAGGATTAACACTGTTGTAGGATTTCTATCTGATGTCTTAATCTAATTGTTACAATTTCTATATTGCGTGAGAGCCTCTGTGCAACGTAAGACAAGATTCTTCTTAAACTGGTCAATGAATGAACAGAGCTTTTCACAAAGCAAAAATTATTTTATTATAAAAGTGATGCTTTAATGCCACTCCAACTTTAATGCTATCTTTGTATCAAAATTGAGAGCTCCCAGCCTATACAAAACAGATCCCACACTTGTCAATAAAATATATTTACGGCAAATATGATATAGTTTTGATGGAAAGACCTGAAATAATGTTAGACTTTTGTGTGTTGATGAATCTTTATCACGCCACTGTAAAATCAGACCAAGATATCAATTTGAATAATTTTCACTTATTGGTGCAACATACCAACACCAAAAACAAACAATAGTTGCTTGATTAATGTTCGTCGCTGGCTTTTGATGTTTTCAAGCAAAACTTGTGATATTTGTGAAAATACTTCGAAACAAACGTTTTCACCATTGCAATATTCATACAGACAATATGATAGACAGGGATATTGCGGAAGCGTTATCAACTTGTTCATAATTGAGTAAACGACAGTTAATAGGGAGTCATATTCTGAATTTTTATGTAATATTTTCAATTTGGTATCACTATCTGCATATATTTTTGGCAAGAAAAATGTTTATGCCTGAACAAAATCCCCAGAAAGATGATCATTGTACTGTGTGTCTAGACTGATACTTTTAACTGATTATTCCGAAATCTGCAGTCTTATCTAATTACCGCTATTTATTTTCATTCTGCTGTTGAATTCAAAAGGTGTATAAAATTATTTACAAATAAATCTTTGTCAAAATATCTTTCTTATTTACATGCAAATCAAGTGATTTGTTCATTCCCAAAACAAAAATTTGTTATAAAGTAAAAAAAGTCTCTCATATTTCAGTGTTTATCCTTATTATTATGTTTTTAAGATTGACCACAATTTATATTGATAAAGCATACAGAACGTATAATCATAGATTCTAGTTTCCTTGAAAATGTGTCTTAATTTCAGCTTAACATTTTTTTTTTGTTCTGTTTATGGATACTTTTGACATAGTTTTGTTGCTTTGTTTGGGAGACCTTATTGCTTTCTTTACAACCAGGAAAAATACAGAAGAATTAGTACAGTTCGTATGTTTTAGATTGTATACTATAGCTTTAATTACATGTACTCGGTTTCCTTAATTTTTTTCAACCTATGTTTCAATAAATCAATCGCAAACAACACGTGCTCACTATCTGCTTGATATCAAAGCTATTTATATGATTTATGCCAAAGGATAATTAAATTTTTACATACACATATCAATTTATTTTTTTATTAATTATATAACATCATTTACATCTGAATAGTTCGTACCTTTTCAATATGTTTTCAGCTTATTTTTTTTTCAGATACGTAACATCTGTCGGTGAAGAATCGAACCCCCTGGCATCTGTTTTATAGTTTTAAATAGGGAACCAATGGACATTTGCCATTTTTTTATTGCTATTAATTGAAGACGTCTAAACCATATAACCATAAAAATGAGGTACTTCATATTTTTACAGGGAAACATCGATTTGCCCACTTTATTATTAAAGATGTTAATTTTATCTTAATTTACACACAAAGACGACGTTGCTAACTTGAAACGGGGGGGTGGGGGTAAATTCTTTAATATTCTTTTTTCTTTCTTTCTATTTTCTTTTTGAGACACAAATTTCCATTTTTTAGCCAAGGACTGCCTCTAAAAAGGACTGAAACATTGTAAGTTTTATAAAATTTAATCCAAGAAACCTTAAATCCTATAACAAATCTGCATGATTTTGCATCCAAATAAGCGCCTTTATTTACTACATCATATTTGTCGTGATTAGCATTGAAGGTTTTGCTTTACTGTGTTGCAAGCAGTCAGAACCATAACCCTAACACTATGTCATTTACCTGTGTACATTAAATGATAAGTACCAATGTGTACACAATAAAAAGACTAGAAAATACTTGCATTTTTGTTTGTTTCTTTGCTTGTTTACTCCCTAGCTTCAAGAATTTTTTCTTTCATATTGAGACACCACCGACAGCCAGATGACCCCAAATTCAGACTTGTATTTTGCAGTCTTCCAGCAGTGGTGCATATCTCTCATACGCTCTCATCCGAAGATTGGTTTACTAGTATATTTTTGGCAGTCTCCTTACCCCTAGCTGCAGATCTGTAGCTCTCCGAAAAAATATATTGATAGACCGGAGAGCTACAGTGCCACCCGTTGAAAAAACTGTATATTTATTGCTCACAAAAAAGTGCGCTCGGTTCTTGATTAATTCGTCAAAATTCTCACCTCAATTGCAAAAATAGAATATTTCAAAAAATTCCTTTCTCCTCCATCAAGTACTCGCGTAGTTAACATCTGAACGAAGCATATTGGACCGAATTATCTTGGAAACCAAAATGGCAGTATAAATAAGCGAAATTTTCGATGATTACAATATCAGGGTCAGGAGGACTAATTACAACAATTATGTGGAATGTTTGGTCGTGGAGACAGTGAAAGAATATGTTAGGAACATAGGGTTAGTTATATTTTGAGATTACAGATTTAAAAACATGGAGAAATAAATCGAGATCCGAGCGCACTTTTTTGTGCGCAATAAATATACAGTTTTTTCAATGGGTGGCACTGTAGCTCCCCGGTCTATCAATATATTTTTTCGGAGAGCTACAGATCTGCAGCTACCTTACCCCGTGACTGTAGAGCCAAAATATTGCAAAGTATCTCTGGTACGTTAAATTTTGAATGTAAACCTTCATGAATTCTTACCTCAAGTATTCCTCCTTGAAGATATATATAAAAATGATATCGTATTGCAATCCCTCATATAAATGACTATAAAAATAGTCATATTTATATGTTAAGAGATAAAATAAACAAAAGCCGATATATTAATGATACAAGGTTTATTTGATATATCCATTAATATCGTGTATTTCGCTCCCTTTAATGTTCGGCATTCTTTAACAGACTAAACAAATGTATTTTAGTAAGGAAATAGAGACCATCTCCTGCGTTTTGGCATAAAATCGATGTACGAGCTTTTGCCAAATTTTTTCCATTAATCTGCGAGAAAATTTTCCAAATAGAGATGTATTTGTAAGATGTAGCGGTGTCGCCAGCAAGGAGTCTATTTGAACATAACACATTTTGTTAAAACGCAAACGTCAAGCAATTTTTCATGGAAAGAGCAGATTCTTTTTATTTGATAAATGAGCCACAATTAACGTGCTAAATTGAGATTTGCTTGGAATCATCGTATTTATTGACTTTTTATGACGAAGAAGAGCTTTAAACAGAATTAGAAAAGCGGTAAGAGAAACGCGATATTATAGTGTGCCTTTCTTAAAGAAACGAAATACTGTCTGGTATAAGCTAGACGACTGTTGGCCTACTGGCACATCCATTCATACTTGAAAAAAAGACAGCCTTTTACTCTTTCTCTATCTTGCAAAAGTATCGAGAAATTTGAAGAAGTATTATCTCGGAAAATTTCTATTTTGGAAAATGCACAACCTTTTTATTGAACATATATGAAATTGTTCATATATTTATATGAAAATAAAAATTCGAGATGTTTATGGCTCATATCTAAATATTTATTTTAAACAAATTATATAATCGATGGTTGAGTCAAACAAAACCTATATTACAGAATTACACACTTTATCGAGCTCAGTAAGCACTAAACTGTGTAGACACGAAAAGCTACGAGGCAAAATCGGGAATGAAAATTTAAAAGCAGTGGGCATTTCCCGGACGCGTTCACTGGTTTAGAGAAGCTGAAACCATTCTGTACATCTTAAAATTCCGGAGAGGTCCATTGAGAGAACTGCAGTATCTCTCCAGTAATGCATAGTGTAGATTATCGGACGCCGAAGCAGTGAGATGCTTTCAGCAAAAGAAATGACACCACAACAAATCATGCAGCAGTCAAGCAACAATTTGTGCCACTTGGTACTCGCAATTGACTCATTTCCGATAAAAGTGGTTAATAACAAGACATAATGTGATAATTCATTTAGTTCGGGAGCAGAAGATAAAAAGAAAATTTAGGAGGACAATTTTGTTTGATTCTTTTTTCATTTGGAAAGAAAAAGAGGATTTTTATTTTTATTTTTTTTTCCAGGACAAAAAGTGTGTTGCATGGAAATATGTGTTTCATTGTAATCCATTGTATATTTTTTCTTATCATGGAATTAATACCGATTTTAAAAGGACAGACCACACAAGTATCCATATATCTTATAATGCCTGACCGAGCCAAACTGAACAGAAATCTTAAAAGCACATTTTCCGAAGCAGTTTTTACAGTGGGAACAAGGGTATTTAGGAAGTCTCCCATATTTTCAAATTTAAGGATAAAGCGACACGATACTATTATAGACAAGGAAAACCCTCATGAAATTTTGGATATGTTTTGTGAAACTATATTCCAGTCGCATGTGAATACTATTTTGTATTTTCAATTACATCCAACGAAGGATCCAACACCTAAGTTTATCATAAATATGGCGGAATACTTAAAAATACCGGTCATTTCCTGGGATCCACAATATCCAGGCGCTCTGCAGGTAGGTTTGTTGTTCTGATAAAAGTTCATGGATTTTGACAATTGAAACTTTAACTAAATATGTTGAATGTCTTTTAATTTTAAGTGTCATTTGGAAGCCTTTAATTAGCTGGTTCATTAAGGAAAGCAGACAATTCCAGGGTTCTAATCCCACATAACAATTAATGAGTGTCCTTAAAGTGAATAGAATACCAGTAACTTGACTTCTTGTACATTCGCATTGACCATCAAGAAATGATATGAATAAATAAACATTATTACTCCAACTTGTGCATTCAGCTTCCCTATCTAGTCATGAGATGCAGTGTAACAGCAAGGATAGATATCGACCATATTGGATTTCAGAATAAGGGGGTGGGGAAATTAACCTTTTTTTTTTAAATAATCTAAATCCTCATTTTGTCATCAAGGAGTTCATGTTTTTATAAAACCTCGACTCTTTTTGTCGTGATTTAAAGAAAATTCTTAAGGAATACTTGAAAATTTTTTGGGAGAATTTTAACAAATCATTATGCAATGCTCACAAAATTGCAAAAGCAACTAAAGCATCCTTAGCACATAAAAAAGGGCAACTCTAGAAAATTGTATGCTTATGGTTATGTTCTCTCCATAAAGATTTCCCTGACTTCTAACCTTGTAAGTCTGACATTTCAAATTTGCAACATGTACGTTTTACTGGAACAACCATGTACATGTAATTGGTAGACAGCTGTCGTTATTTCAGGAAATATTTGACAAAAAGTTTTCAAATGACTGTTCTCCAATTACAGTATAATGTAAATTGTTATCGGGATGCCAGACAAATGTGTCAGTGTAACATGTGTTCCGTTTGTTAAGACACCATCTGTAAAATAAACATCAAAAAACCACATCAATGGCTCGTAAAAAAGTGACAAAAATATTGTCTCTGGTTATTCGACTCTATATTAATTGATTTAGAAAAATAATGTTTCCTCCTATTATAGCGTTTCTAAACTCACATAAAGAATGTCTAACTAGTCAAGGTCTTCCGTTTTGAGAAGTCTGAAACTGACATTGGCTGAAAGGACTTTTAACTGTTGGTGCTTGCAAAGATAGCAGAAAAAAAATCCCCCTTTCAATGCTAATGGTATTTTACTCTATGATATCTTGTATGTAAATCAAATAGCTTTACAAAATCGTTCAAATGTAAACAGTTTAAGTTGCCATTTTTTCGTCAATTATATGCAAAATTTTAAACATGTAATGGCTTACAAATTAAAAGAAAAGAATTATTTATTTTAAGAAAAACAAACAGTTTTGAGTATTGCTGATTCCATAAAATCATACAGTCGATCTTTATAAATTGCTTTAATGGTTATAACAATATTCCTCTGGTCTATGTTCGAGCAATTTCTCAGACGATGCAGTCTATCGTCAAATAGGTTAATACTACAAGGAGTGTAACATAAAGGTCAACATTATATTTTGATTCAAGAATATCGATAATCTCTTTAAAAGTCAACATTACATTTTGGAATTTCTATTGTCTATACAATGGCATTATCTGTAAATAATCTGACTTATGTTTTTTTTTTATTTACAATAAAAAATTGATTAAGCCATTATGTTTACACTGAATCGTCTTTAGATTTTCAATTTCTCCGCTCATAGCAAAGGGTACACACTGTGACGGGTAGGCAGGGGATGCTTATTCTTACATGGCACCTGATCCCACCTTTGTTTTAGAGGTTCGTGTTTGCTTTTCTCATAATTTGTTTTTTAGAAGGATTTTTGAGAATGGACCATAGTAATGGAAAAAAAATCAAACAAAATAGATGTACAAAATCAAAAAAGGTATAGCAAAAATTTTTGTTTAGCGGAAGTTCTAAAAAATAAAAACGTGAAATTATTCATAACCAGAAATTATATACAAATCTAAACAACCTTCATTTTTTTATGTTCATATTTTGCTTGCGCCCTCAAGATCTTGCAACTACTTTAGTGTACGTTTATCTGCATGTATGGCTACTCATTTCCCTCTCCTCCAACTATGAACCTTTAAGATGTTGCCCCTTAAAAAAAACTCTACGGTAGTTAAAATGACAACAAACAGCAGCACAATAACATCAATTTAATCGAAATCAGATTCCTTAGATCTGCGCCTTTTCACTTTGTAAATATGAAGTTTTTAAAATGTACATTTTCAGCATAAGCAAGATTCTACTGTTCTTCAAATGGCACCGACCATATATCACCAATGTTCTATGATGCTTGGAATTTTGAAGAGGTTTAATTGGACTAATTTCGCCATCGTGTCAACAACGACGTTTAATTACTTGGAATTTACTGGATCCATTGACATTCTCATCAAGGAACACAACACTAAGGTTAAATTCGATAGAAAACGCAGGTAAATCTATATGATATTTTAATACAAACTTCTCTACACTAAATTCTATTGTATTTCATTAAGAAGAAATCCTCAGAATTTGAATTTTTAAAAAATTTCTTAGATAGTAAGATTTTCAAACTTTTAAGTTAAATTGAAATCATTAAATGCAATTCAAGCCGATTTGTTTGAAGGAGACGATCTTGTTGATTATTAGTTACCTACTTATGAAACCAAAGAGGACTATTTTATCTGTGTGTCTGTTTGTCTGTCCATCTGTCCTTCCTGAATGACACTCTGTCCCACAGGGTTTTCTGTACTTTTTCCTAAATGCTTGCAGGTAATGAACTGATATTTCGTGAGTGTGTTGAGTTACAGATCGAGTTTTCCTTTTGCTTAAATAACACAAATCGTTTGTGAGTTTACCCATACAAACAAAGATACATGGCGGGTTCCAGTAAATGTTCAACCAAGCCTCTTTCTTTACTCATCACTAAGATATTAACAGTAATGATGGAGAAATTTCAAAAGTACTGTGCAACAATATTTGAGAGGTGGTGTAAATCAGATGTGGATGCTTAAAAATTTCAAGGAACTTTTGGAAAATTTCAAATCACAAGACTTTATTAAAATCAACTTACGACTTTTCAACTTTATACACAACTATTCCCCACGATAAATTAAAGTCCAGGCTTTTCGATATCATTGACAGCTGCTTTTTTCAATAAAAATGGAACTCATAAATTTACTTACTTGGTCATTAGTCATTTGCAAAATTATTTTGTTAAAACACATTCTGATTGTTCACAAAAGTACTCAGAAGTTGACATTAAAAGGAGATCAGGTTTTCCATTAATCTGTTGGAATTCCCATTGTTGGTATCAATTGTGCCCCGTTATTAGCAGACCTATTTTTGTATTCATATAAGGCAAAGTTTGTCCCAAATCTGAAATCCGAAAAAAGAAAACACTTGCTGTGTTTTCAAATCGAACTCAGATCTGTTTCATATTTGGATATATTACAAAACGCTAATGGTAATCTAACAACCAAGCTTTATGATAAACGTGATGAATTTAACTTTTCAATCGTCAACTTCCCTTTCTAATGCAGCAATATACCTTCCTCACCTGCATAAAGGGAGTTTATGTCTCTCACTTGATTCGATACGCGAGTGCATGCTCTACGTATGTACAATATCTAAACGAGGTAAATTATTGACAAACTAGTTGATGAAACAAGAATATCAGCAGTCTCGTTTAAAGTCATCATTTCTTAAGTGCTATGGTCGATACGCTGACCTTGTCAGCAAATACAATTTATCACTGAGTCAAATGCTGACTAACGTTTTTCATATAATAGTTGTTAGTCCACTATATATACACTGAGTTGTCGGTGGAATTTTTCGCTATTTCCCGATCAAGACAAGGAGGACATGACGGGTGTGACCGGTCGGCAGAGGATGCTCATTTCTCCATGACACCTGATCTAATCTCTAATGTTTTGGAGGCCCGTGTTTGCTCTGCTCCTGTTTTGTATTGTTAAATAGACTTTTTGTCTTCAATGCTATTTGTTATCGCCATATATTTCAAATTAATATTGCTGGTTCCCAAAAAATGACCAAACAACAATTAAAGATTCGACCAACAATAAAGCACAACCATTTTTTCCCATAAAAACAAGCATTCTGAAAGTATTGCAACGAAATGCAAATTTGCTTGGACTGTTACTCATCAAAATACACTCTGCTTAATATCTGCAAGCATCTAGAAAAAACGTGCGGAAAATCTAGTGGGACAGTCATATTGATGGAGAGATGGACGGACAGACACACAGAGAGACGGGGAGACGAGGTCCTACCTGTTTTACTAGTAGGGGACTAAAATGATTGTGTACGAGGGTTGCACCAACCTTTTAATATTTCTGTTCATAGTTGAGAACCAGCAATATTAAATTTGTAAATTTGTGTTTTGGCGATGTAAACGCTTCTCTGTACAGTTAATTTTGTTCCTGGAAATCTCGATACCATCACTGGGCTTTTGAGTCGTTTTATCTTCTACATAATGAAATCAGATTATCTCCCCTGGGACAGCTCCTGTCACCCTTGTTTAGGATCAAACCCACACTCCCGGGGAGAGCCAGTATTTCAAAAAAAGAAATCAATCTAAGTCTTGGCAATGTCATTGGTGTTAATAAAAACTAAGAGTCCTGACATTTTCTGATCGATTGTCAACAACTAGCATGAGGGTGTCATAAAAATAAATATGTTTTACACCCACACCGTCATTGTATTCACTTACACTAATTCTGGTATAATAAATATAAGCATCGTGTATAATGAAATGATTCCAGATTTTCTGAAACACTTTGGACTTCTGTCAGAATCTATTTGTCTCCTTGTGTTTCAAGTTTTTCATGAATAGGTCATGATACTCCCAAATCTGTGCATAACACCTTCCTTGTCATCTGAAGTTCTTTCGTTCCCTCTTCTACAGCCATTTTAATTTGTCTGACATGAACTCTCCAGTATACAGTACGCTAGGTTTAATGCCTGACTGCAAAGTTGTGCTTCGTAACCACAAAAATTTTACAGGATGTTGGAACAACATGGACTTTTTAATCTAAGATAGTTGGAGGCTACATGTCATTTTCAGCAATATATTGTATTTTGTGTATTACAACATTATAAAATCCTTGCATTAAGCATTAACTTTTGGGGTTGAGGCAAATTTAGCAAAATATTGAGTAATACTCCCAGCTTCCATTGCATATTAATGATTTTTTTCTTCAGTACTGTTAAAACTCTTACAGGAGATTTCATGTTATAAAAGAATAACAATCAATCACTTATCACAATCATACTAGTGTATGAAATAAACAGAGTTGAAACAATGTCACGAACGTTGTTTTATAAAAGATCAAATTTAGGGTTCAAGTTACATTAAACATGTTGTGTGTTTTTTTCCAGCGTTCTGTAATGTCCTACAAAGAAATCAATCGGAAGTATATAGTTTATGGCAAACAGACAATATATTAATTTAAAAAATAATCCACATGTATGTTGTGACAGTCTTCCTTCTCCGTATACTTCGCGGTTTTAAACAATACCTGTTTTCATATAGAGTAAATCATTGCTGTGTTTTGAAAGCTAAAATCTTGAATGCAAAAGACAGTCTTCTCGTATTTTAAATTTTGAATTCTAGAGTTCCCATGAGTACCAACTGCACCCCGTTTTCAGCAGATTTATATTTGTATTCATATGAAGAAGAAAATTTAAAACTTTATACTTGGAAAATAGAAAACGCTGGCACCTTCAACTCAACATTTAGATATGTCGACGACGTATTATTAATTAACAATAGTTTTTTCAATTCATATGTCGATTAAATATATCCTAGTGACCTTGAATAAGAGATATCACAGAATCTGAGACGTCTTTTTAATATTTGGATATTTTACTAGAACAAAACGTTATTGTTAACCTATCAACAAATTTTTATGATAAAAGGTAATGCCTTTAATTTTGTTTATCCCTAAATTCCCTTACTCATGAAGCAATATACCCTTAATTGTAACATGGATAAAGAGAACCAATGTCTCCCAGTTGATTCGATACGCAAGAGCATGTCATACGTATGAACAATTTGTATAACGAGGCAAACCATCGACAAACTAGTTGATAAAACAAGATTATCGACAGACTCGATTGAAATTGCTATGGTCGATCTTGTTAGAAAACAATCCATTATAAGTCGAATGCTGACTGACGTTTTTCAAACTAATTGCTACGCCAATATTTACACACTGAATTGTCAACGGATTTTCCGTTTTCCGGATCCTGATAAGAAGCACACGGTGGGTGTGACCGGTCGAAAGGGGATGCATACTCCTCTATGGGAACTGAGTTCACATTCGATGTTTTTAGAGCACCCCTGATTTATATTCTTTCAATGAGTTTTTGAGCTCGATTACTCAGACGACGACAATTTCTCTAGGGATTAAAGCATTGAACCATTAGTTCGGTGACATATTCGAGAGAACATACAGTATATCCGAAATCAAATCATTAGATTTAACATGGTTTATTTGTCTCTCACCGATTTGGAAGAAAGTAACAACCCAGACATATGTTCAAAATGTTTAAATTGCATTAATATACGCAACAAAACATTTTGGTCAGGCAAAAATATAGAAAAATCGAGTTAAGAAAATCAAATTATCATACGCCTTATCAATCCTCTACACAGAAGGCAGATTTATTGCGTAGCACCTCTTATTGGAGTCATCGAGTGCTTCTAAATTATCTAGAATGAAATACTGAGTATGTAGAGATAACAGACAGTATTCAAGCTCAAAGTCCATCAAACATTACAAAATAGGAGCGGAGGAAACACGGACCTCCAAAACATCAGAGGTGGGAATCAAGTGTCACTGAGGAGTGAGCATACCAGCCGACCTATTACACCCGCCATGTGCTCTTTATCTCCATTCAAAAGGGGTTTTTCATTGTTTCGTTATGAAATTTCAAATAATTCTTACTTTGTACAAGATATGGACAAAATAAAGTCTCCAAAGAATAATGAGCTTACAAACACTTCTTTATGATTTGAATTTCAGGGGCCAAGATTTTCTGGTGCTTTAGAGGTACTTGTTTGCTCTGTTCCTAATTTATATTTTGAAGTTGACTTTTGAGCTTAAATACTCTTCATGTATTTCTGGAAAAAGGATTTTGTAATTTTGGATAAAAGTCATGATTGTGATGCATATTTTAAATACCCTTTGAGAGTGAAATTCACAGATACTTCTGAATATCACATGTAATGACATGTAAAATAACCTGAGCCCGACTCTGCATATATTGATTCTAGAGATATAAACATATCAACTTTTTTGAAATTGCTGTCATGTATATTGTTTCCAGAATGGGTTATTAAAAATCTTCCCTCCTGGCCATGGATGATAAAAACAATACTTTCAAGATTGCATTAATAAAAAAACAGAATTTAAAGTGGATTTCGTAAAGTAAAGAATGCACACTTCATCTTGTCTTTACACAAATATCTCAGTTAATCTTGTATCTCTATATGCGTTCTTCGACAAGTAGGCAGAAAGAACCTAAAATAGCGTAATAGATAGCTTTATCAATAACTCATTCATCAACATGGCAAATTAACGACCTTGTCTTATGCTTTTTAATTTCTCATATGAGGTTAATGTATATTTGCTTGACTTGTCTTGCAGATTTAATCTTCTCTCATCCATAGTTGTTAATCTCCGGCCATCGGACAATGACACAGTGATCAAAACCAAATCCAGACAGGCCTTATTAAAAGAGAATAATCCGGAGAATAGAGTCTTCCTTATCCATGTTAGGTAGGCATCGATTACTTTGCTATGTTCTGTAAAATAGAAGTTTCACGCTGTATTAGTATTTGTGTTTTATTATAAAAGACTGAATAAAGGTCTAAGATATAATGAGTGAATCCCATTGTTATTTGCAATTGCACATAATTCCCTATTAAGTAGTGTTTTTTATGTGGAGTGATAATTGCCTATTAAGTGGTTTCATTTGTTACAAATACAGTAGCTCTATCTTGAAGGAATCTTAAAGTTTTTTTTATGAATTTGACGACGTTCGATCCTGATATATTTTTAGTTTTTACATATATAGCTTAATTAAAATTCAATTTAAAAAAATGGGGGTCAATACACTTCTTTTGGCGCTACAGTACATTTAATATGACCTTTTTTGCACTGAAAATTGTGTCTTATTTAAAAATTAAATTTTTGACGTTTTCCCTCCAATATTTTTATCCAATTAAAGCATGAAACAAAATGAACTCTTAGTTTGTTTAAAAAAAATACACTTTAAAATTGTGACTAAGAAAAAATTTCAAATTGCTTTGCATAATCAATTATTTGACCTTTCTGCACTAATAAAAAGTGATTTTTCCGGCATTGAAAATTAATAAGCAAGAAAATTATTTTAAAGTCTTAAGCTTTTTCTGATTTTAAGCAAATAGGTCAAAGATATCTTGAATATTTAGAAAAGAACATCAAACGTGGGGGTATATGATGTAAATTTTCAGATATTACTAAAAAAGTGTCCATTTTACGTTAAAATTGACTAAATTTTTTCCCGGGTTTTCAGAATATATTTACTATATTTGTCACACTTTGTTGAAAGAATTCATAAGAAATAATTTAATAGGTATTTCAGAACCAGCATAACACATTTCACTGCAAAAACAGCTTTGTGTGCAACCAGCATGGAACAATAAGAATCCAAAATTAAAAGTACATACTGTTATCGTTCAAGAGGGGAAAAACTGATCACTTTCGTCTTAAAAAAAAACCTTCCACCACTTTTTTGGAAAAAGGATAATACAATTTTTAATTTTATCAAATATATTTGTAAGTGATGTTTTGTAGCAATATGACAAAATTTCAAAGTGTTATTTTAACATAATGTGAAAGATTATCAGAAGTGCAGCAAAACTCCCATGCCTGTTTTAAGATAGAAAGAGAATATAAACCATTCTGAAAAGGCTTAAAACTAATTATTTTCTTCAAATAGACTTCTGATATACATGGTAATTGTTTTCAATCTCACATTCTCTAAGTTATGAGGCCCATTTGTTAAAAAAAAAAACAGGCATGGAAAAAATCAAAGAAAATGACACGAACAGTAAATTTCATATTTTGTAAATAAATTCTTCTTAGGTACATTTGTGCTTCACACTCGTAAAGCAAAACCTGTTTTGCTCGTTAAAAAATTCCATATTCAGATTTACTTGTAAAGCATTTACTTGACTATCCTGTATTTCTTTCTGGTTCACAACCATAATTTTCAAATGTGTTTCAAGTTCTAGGGAGGCAAAAGACATACTGGAAGTGGCAGAAGAACTGGGTCTAACGGGAAAAGAATACATTTGGATCATGTCTTCTTTCTGCTTAGGAAATATGGACTATTCCATGCCACCAAGGGCTTATCCGCTCGGAAGTTTAGGTGAGTTGTGTGTTGTACTTAACGAAACACATTTCCCTTTACATCTTCAATTTTAGTGTTAGATTTATTGGCTCTTAAATGTGTGACTTTGGAGATAATGAGTTTAAAAGTCTTAGATCAATAGAATCTTTATGAATCCTACCTGTAGTTTAGAAACTGTGAACTTGCAATGAACTTCCAATCCAGAATTCAATCTGAACGAATGTCCTAGAAGCAGACCAGCTTAAATTTTTCTTAAATTTATTGGTGGAGATAAATTCAAAATCAATTTTGCACATTTACCTATATTCCATTCCTTGAAATTTAGAACATGTTCTCAGAACTCGCTTGTTTTTCTCCTACATTGTATATATTTTTTATCGATAAAAGGTTTGACTTCAATTTTATTTTCTTTCCTTTTTGAAAAAGCTGTTCTAGTCTATGCTTGATGCTGGTATTTGTTTATAGCTATAGTATTTTAGTTAGCATTGTCCTTATTTGTTTTCTTCACTGCCATGGATATCATATGAATATTCTGTATTTACTAATTCTGACATATAGCATCCCAAAAGACTTGCCGAAGCTTGCATTCCCCAAAATTACAGTGCTGATCGTTAATCGAACCATAAAAGCTTGGTCCTTCTGCATACTGTACAGTGTACTGAGAAAGCTATCATAGTCGAATTCCAAGCAGTAATGCAGCTTTGATGAAAGTTAAAATCTGAATTTATATTCAGTTCATTCAGTCTGTTATGCAAGGCTTGTGCACTAATGCTCCGTATAAACGAAAAAGGAATATTTCCAAGTTCATATCCATGTCTTGGTATGTATTTACAATGCAGTAAAACTGATTGGAATGAATGAATAATCGTTATACATACCAAACACTGATGCCCCATGTTGCAGCTCATGATGAGGAAGGTTAATATTTCACGAGGGCAAATCAAGGTGCCAAGGTTGACAAAAACAAATCAAATTTGATAGTATCAAATAGAAGGTCTTGTAACAAGAAAACGTGTGAAATTTGACAGCACTAGCAAGAAGAAAAGGTTTTGTCACCAAAAATACTAGTACACATTTGAAGCATGAAAACCATTTAAAAGTAATACCAACTGTTTTAGTGTGGTTAAATTTTTGCAAAAGTGGGTCAACCTCGAAGGACAAATATTTTGGTATTCTAAGAAAGGTCATGTCACAAGGAATACCGTGTGAAATATGAAAGCCGTAGCTCCAAATAATAGAAAGACATGGCCAAAATTATTTTTAAGAACAGGCAAATTAATGAAACATGTAGACAAACGAATGTACCTGATGAACAGGGAAAATTCCATCTGCCCTTGAATTTTCGATTACGGTAACATAAAAAGTTCCTTTCCAAAAATAAAAAGCGTACTTTGTTTATAAATGTACATAATAAAGGCCTGAAGATCGTATCTGTAAGTAAACCATGACAAAAAGTATTTCAACGTTGATGGACTATATTTACTATGAATAGGAAAATTCCTCAATGATTTATTATATGTACGTTAATTATTGGCGATTAAAAAATTGCACAAATTGTACATATTCTAGAAGAACTAACATTATGTAGCAATTGAATTGTACCCTGTAAAATCACGAGTTTTCGAGACAAAATAACGTCTACTTTCATCTTTATTTTGTCTCATCCTCAACTTTAAAATTCAATAAAGGGGATTTATATTAAATACTGGATGTGACATGCGCACTGAGCAAGAAGATCATCAGGGGAACCCAGAATGATTTCATCACGAATTGGTAATTCTTTTTTAGAGGGATTGAAATCTCCAGAGAGTGTACATTTTACCAGTATTTCTTCAAATTATCGACATTCTGACAAATTCTTTCACATAAACTCATGGAAAAGCGAAGAAACAAAATTATAAATAAGGATGCGCAAAGCTGGCATTTCTAGCTCCTATAGTCTTAACTAGTTAATTCTGGCATCCCCTTAGTGGGCTCAAGATTGATAAATAAAGTGTCTTACGTTTAAAGATTGTGTGTAAAGCTCTTTACATTATTTTTTGTTTCAATACATAATACTATTTGTGTATATAGATATATATCTTACTTGTTTAGATGTTCAATTCATATTCCAAAGGGTATTTCTTACTTTGTCTCATGGTATATTTCTTTCAATTTTTCATAATTTTTAAGCTGTCTGTTCTAATAATTTTATCGATTATCTTTTAAAAAGAAAATGATGAATTCAAATTCAAGATTGTGTATCTCTATGACCATTTGCATTTTTCTAGCCTTGACAATGGCCATTTAAACAAACATTGCTGTTACAAATTACATAATGTTTTGCAGGCGTTACATACTCCAGCATTTCGAAGGATGGATTTGAAGATCAGCTGATAGACGATGCACTGAAGACTTCGGTCAGACTTTGGGTTGAGACTCTTAAGAAAACGTTTATAAACAAGGATCAATATAAGATATCTCCCAATTTTTCCTGCAACTCTCAACAGCCACTCCAACAATGGCTGGATGGAGAAAAGTTCTATCGGTGAGATAGCTGCCATAATTTGAATGGCAAATTATCCTTGGTCGCATTCAGGGGTTAAGCAATGTATTTGTCAACTAATTTGCCGGGCTATCTGATTTTTTGAATTATATATTAAGAAGTCTATTATATTAAGCGGGGAAGCTGTGAATAAGAGATAACTATCTTTAGTTTGCTTCTTTTAAGAGGGCAGAAACCAATTTCTCACAGTAATATATTTTCTTGCTGTTAAATTGGTTATCAAACAGAGTGATTTTTATTACTTTCGGTAAGGAACAAGTGCACAGATTTTGAATGCAATGAAAATTGCATCCTTCAAACCAGCTTCAGAAGATTGAAATTATGCTTCAAAATGATGACAACATAGCAATTTCTATGATAGATTTCTACGATGTTTTAGATTCCGAAATATATATATAATCTACTACCCAGCAATCTCTGGATTTTTTTTAGTGTTATTGCTAATAACTTCAATATCTGAGACATTTATTGAAATGTCCCTAATAGATATGTACGGTCAACTTACTGAATATTTTCTTATTTTATAAAAATATCAAATAAGGATATATGCATCTTAGTTAAAAATGAGTAAATTATTCTCCGTATAATTTTAAGGTTTTAATAATCTTTGTGGAACTCTTATATGCTTACAAATGCTGTACACCTCCTCTAAATCACATTCTAAGGAAATAATAGCTAAAACACTATTTTTGTAAAATTTTGATCATTTGATGCAGCCTAAAACTCATATTTATTTTTAGAGTGATGAGAAGTGTTCGATTGGATAGGCCCACGCCTATTCAATTCAGCAACAACGGTGTGAACCAGCTTGTAAAATTAAGGATAGTGAATATTCAGCAGATGACCGAAAATCATAGAACTTCAAGAGTCTGGAAAGAGGTAAGGATTTCACAGCCCAATGATTCGCAATAAATAAAAAAGGTAAAGAATGCCCGTTTATCACAATCATTTTTAGTTGAGCAAGTGCAATTGGAAAACTATTTGAAGGGATAACTTTTAAAACAATATTATAGGAAAGAGAGCAATGCAATTAATTAAGTTTAATGCAACATTATTACAATGAACCCAACGCTAAAACGTTTAACAAAACATTATTACAATGAACCCAAAGCAATCAGCTATATCACACTCCTATAGGCTTTACCACAGCATATTATCGTAAACTCAATATTCATACTGCAGACTAGCCTATCATGAAACTTGAAAGAACTCATATCAAAGAGTTGAAGATTATAAACATATGTATAAAGTAATGATTACAACAAAGTTGTTGTGTTTGTTTTGCTGCCAAGATGGTTATGCTGCTTGCTTGATATGTCATATATGATCACGTGTATATGTTAATATTATTAAAATTCGTTCGTTACATGTTCACAAGCATTTGACTTTTTTATTGGTGAAATTTCATTGTTTTAGTGAGAGTTAAGTTGCTGTATTATTTTGTACTATATACTGTATAACAACCAATTTCAATCATCCGCTTATCAAATGCATATGTAAATGGTAACTTTCTCTGTCATTTTTGAAGGTAGGTAGATGGGTACCTATGGAATCTAATGTCACACACAAAGCAGAAATGACAGTTGAAATGTCGGGAATCACGTGGCCGGGAAATGCCGTGTTACCCCCGCTGGGAAGACCCGAGAAACGATTCATGAGGATTGTCACTTTAAAGGAAAAACCTTACGTGTTCTACCTGGACAAGGATGCTAATGGAAAATGTCCCCCACCTGCTGTGCCCTGTCGGCTGGTGAAGAAGATTAACCCGTGAGTTAAGGTTCTTTGTATTTATTTTATTATAGCGATTTTTTGCTTTGTTCTCTAGATTTTTTTTTTGAATTTTTTTTACTTTATTTAATCTAGAAGAAACATTAATCAATTGAAAGGTTCAGCGACTTCAAAATTTTAAAGCATTTTAACGTAGAATTTTTTTTGGCTATGGAAGAATATGTTCACTTTGTCAGCATAATGAAAATTATATGATAAAAAACACACGGAGGTGTGGCCGGTCAACAAGGGATGTTTACTTCTCCATTGCACGTGATCCTACTTCTGACGTTTTAGAGGTTTGTGTTTGCTCTACTTTCAATTTGTGTTCCTCCAGTGGACTTTTGGGCTTGATTATTGTTCGTTATCTTTACACTAAATGGTTCGCTGTCAGTCTTTGGACTGTGTTTTCAAAATAACAGTAAATTAATAATGTAATGCATATATATGTGGCATTTGCTTTGAGAGAAAAAACTTCAATACAGCAAATCCAGAATGTTTTAAATGAAATATATGGAGATAAGGAACAGTATTCAGGCTAAAAAGTCCAAAAAACAATACAAAATAGAAGCGGAGCAACACGGGCCTCAAAAACATCAGAGATGGGATCAGGTGCAATGTCATATATGTATGATAAGTACTTATGCAGAGTTGTTGTTGTGAACATATCTAAAGACAATATATGTCAACATGATTGGATATACATGTAAGTCCCAAAACCTTTTGGTATTCCTACATATTATTTACATAAATATCAGTTTTAAAAGCATATTCCTAGCTAAATATCTGCTCAATATTCATGATTCATGCATTCTCAGTTGATTCGCTATTTTTTTCCTTTTAAAAAAATAGTAGTATATTTACCTCTTATCAAGTATTCAAAATATTTACAAGTGAAAAAATATCTGTTACGACTTACGATAAACTAAATATTTCAACATCTCATTGACTCCATTTGCTCTGTCAACTCCAAGTTGATCAATATTTTTTTCTTTAGTTAAATACACTCTAAAAGATAAATTCATATAAAATATTTTGTTAAAAGATTTATAGTTGTAATATAACAATATGGAGATACAATCACAGTAATGTGATTGGCGATTTCTTTGATATTGGATCAGAAATAGTTTTGCGTGATATTACGTAATTTGATGTTTTCCAAATGATGAAATGTGGCTCTAAAGCCTTGCTCCAAACATATCAGAGGGAGAGTTTCGACATTGTTTACCCTACCTATACTGGATTCCTAAACTTCATAAAAATCTTATCATCACGAACATTGCAGCGTCCAGTACGAAACCCCAGAAGGCTCATTCGAGATTGTCCAGCAAATGCTCTTCTAAACCCCTATCTAAAAATATTCCTTACAAAATTTAACGCCCGTGAAGGTACAACGTCAGACGTAAATGTACTTTTCAACGCTTTAATATCGGGAAATGGTTTCAATCCCTATTGGATTTTCAAATACATGTTCTACAAAAAACTTTTTAAAAAATCAAAAATAACCTTTTCCTCGAAAGCCAGTACCACGAAGCCGTGTGACTTTTCTAAACTTTATAGAATCAATTCTTGTGATAAATTAAAAACTTTTTTTTTTAAATATCATAGAAAATTGCTTCTCAAATTGGAAATGTTCATCCCTTGTTCAAGTTTATTATTTTTGTTAAAAACTGTTTAATTCCAAAAGACTAATTGTGTTCCCTTATAAGTCGACACGTTTTATATGCCTAAAACGGGAAATTCATTTAAAAACTTCTAAACGAAAAGAAGAAAACTTGTAATTGTCGTAGCCTTCTGTGACCTATTGCTATCTGTTTTCGTCCGTCGTCGTTCGTCGTGCGTTAACATTTGAAGATTTTTAGCTTCTTCTCTGAAATCACTGAACCAATTTCAACCAAATTTGGCATATAGCATCTATGGATGAAGGGGAACAAAAATTGTGAATTTCATGGTCCCTGCCCCCCTGGGGCCTGGGGGTGGGGCAAAAACCACTAAAATTAGTGCAGTCTTTAAAAATCTACTTCTTTACTCCAGGACATCAAGCAGTCAAACTGTTGGTATGATTGTAATCAGCATTGAGTCCTCTACCAAAATTGTGAAATTCATGGCCCCCAGGGTCAGGGGTTCTAGTGCTAGGGCGGAGCTAAACAGGTTATATAGTGAAATGCATTATTACTTTGAAAATCTTCTTCTCTGCTCCTGGGCATTAAATAAGCTAACTAAGTACATAGTTATGTTGAATAAGATTGCCTCTTCCAAAATTGTGAACTTCATGGCCCCAGGGTCAGGGGTTCTGGTGTTAGGGCGGGGCTCTATTGATTATATAGTGAAAATGCATAAATTCTTTAAAAATCTCCTACTCTGCGCTTGGATATTTAACCAAAGAACTATGTACATAGTTATGATAAGGAAGGATGCTTCTTCCCAATTTGTGAATTTCATGGCCCCTGGGTCAGGGGTTCTGGTGTTAGGGCAGGGCTCAATTGGTTATATAGTGAAAATACATTAGTTCTTTGAAAATTTTCTTCTCTGCTCCTGGGTATAAAACAAACAAACTAAATACATAGTTATTATGACCGAGAATGCCTCTTCTAAAATTGTGAATTTCATAGCCCATGGGTGAGGGGTTCTTGTCTTAGGGCGGGGCTCTTTAATTGTTTATATAGTGAAAATACATTAATTCTTTAAAAAATCTTCTTGTCTTTTCCTGGGTATGAAATAGACTAACCAAGTACATGGTTATATTGAATAAGTCTACCTCTTCCAAAATTATGCATTTCATGGACCCAGGGTCAGGGGTTCTGGTGTTAGGGCGAGGCTCTGTTGATTATATAGTGAAAATGCATAAATTCTTTAAAAATCTTCTCCTATGCTCCTGGGTATAAAACCACTAAATTATGTACATTGTTATAATGAGGAAGGATGCTTCTTCCCAATTTGTGAATTTCATGACCCCTGGGTCAGGGGTTCTGGTGTTAGGGTGGGGCTCCATAATGATTATATTGTGAAAACGCATGAATTCTTTGGAAATATTTTCCTTTGCTCCTTGGTATAATGCCAATGATCTAAGTATATATACATGATGAAGAAAGATGCCTCTTCCAAAATGGTTAATTTCAGGGCCCCTGCATCTGATTAAATGAAATTTATAAAACTTCTAAAATTTTAAAATATGTGGCCCCAGGGTCAGTGGTTCCTTTGGGTTGGTGTGCACAACTGGTGGTTATAAAGTGGAAATGCATTTTCTCTCTGTTACTCTGATCTCCCTTTGGGTATTAAGTAACCAAATTTAGCATGCTAAATGTATAGTTATGATAAACAATGGTGCCTCTTTCAAAATTGTGAATTTCAAGGCATTTGGTTTAAAATAGTCAAACCAAATTCAGTTGTTGGAAAGTTGTTTCATGTTACTCAGGTGACCTATAAGGCTCGTGGGCCTCTTGTTCAAGTAAAATATCCAAATACGAAGCAGATGTGTCAGACTCTGTGGTATCTTTTAATCTCAAGCTAACCGTGATGTATCGTATCGACATAAGAACGAAAGTAATCATTGTTAATTGAGAATGCGTCGTCGATATATCGAAATGTTGAGTTGAAGGACATAGCAAGTGTTTTCTTCTTTTCACGCATAAGATTTTGCACAAATTCTGCTTCATATAAATACAAAAATAGGTCTGCTAAGTACTGGACGCAATTGGTACCCATGGGAATTCCAACAGATTGTTGGAAGACCTGGTCTCGGTAAACCACATAGAAATTGTCAATCAGAAACTCAAGCATCTTTTTAATGTCAACTTCAGAGTACTTGTGTGTACAATCAGAATGTTTCTTTAACAAAATAATTTTGCAGATGACCAGTGCCAAAGTAAGAATATTTATGAGTTACATTTTTATTGAAAAAGCAGCTGTCGATGGTATCTATATATAGTGGACTTCATTGGTACCTGACGTTCACAATGAATATTTGTTTGTCTGAAACGAATACTCCCAACAAAAAATATTTTTCAGTGAAAACAACAATACTCCACAAAACAACACGGTGTCCCGGTGCTGTGCTGGGCTATGTATCGATATCTTAAGGGTGCTTAGTTCAAAGATGCAGTTTGATTACGAATTGTACGAGGTTCCAGACCAAACATGGGGACTTCCAGATCAGGTTAGGAATCTTGTTTTTTATATTGGTTCATGTCTGAAAGACCATGACATGAAATGTAGATTTTAAGAGATTATTACATTAATAGATATTGATTTTTAGGACAAATGGTCTGGAGTTTTTGTCAAATTGTATAGAAAATATGATTCTTCACAAAATGTATTTTGTATTGAGAAACGCATTGGTTTTTTGAGACTTGATAGAGACTTCGAATAAATTTCATGGATCTAGAGGAGACGGAGAGAGTAATGAAATGCCGAAGTGTCAAAATTATTTAATTCGATAACTTAATTTCAAATCTAAACAATTCATTTGCAATCTCAAGTCGTTTGTAGTTTGATGAAATAAGGAATATAAAATGCATTTTTCACAAGGAAACGAAATGCAATGAATTGAATTAATAGTTAAACATGTTAAAGGAGCATAGAATCATAACTATTTTGTCTGGCTTCAGCAAACAGGGGAATGGAACGGGTTGATTAAGCAAATTCAGGATGGTTTGGCAGACATGGTTCTGACGTCATTGAAAATAACCCCAAAACGTAGCGAAGTTGTCGATTTCTCCATCCCCTTCCTGGAGACCGGCATCACTATAATGGTTTCCATCAGAAAGGGAAACATCTCACCTACGGCATTCCTAGGTTTGTTGTCTAATGCTTTCTTTGTTACAAAATTGATTTGAACAGCTATTCTCGAACACTTAAATTTGATTGAAAGAATTATATCACGCAATGAAAGGTAGTACATACTTGGTGTTTAAGATGAAGGCACCTTAACTGGATGTGATACTAGTTACTACATTTTTATGCATTTTGTAATATAAATTATAAGGCTTAAATGCATCTATTTATTGTGCGTTCTTCAAAATAATATCTACATTTAAACCTCTTTTTTTACAATTAGGTCTACATCTAAAGTAGTGACCAGTTCCCCTGAATCAATATATTACGCTAAAAGAAAATTATTTTTAAAATGTATAAACTATTATTTCAAATATATATTTTATCAAATCTAACAAAATGATTTTATACATAAATGATATAAACTTATAAATAATAATATTGAAATAGAATTCTCAGACGTTTAACTTACCTTTGCCATTACTTGCTGAATACACATTCCGCTCTTATTATATATACGGTACTCTGCATGAAAAATGTATAGAATAAATAATAATTATATAATTTTGTTTTTATAAAATGCACATATGGGTCTCAGAACAAAGGTCGTTCTAATCTTGTCGTTTCAGATACACACGGCAGTTTTTACTGGTTTTTTCTCTTACTTTTTACCTTACCTATAGTGGCCTTTTTCATATGGCTGCTAGAAATCTTTTCTCAATCCGAAGGATTGAAAACGAAAGTAAAAGGTACATCTTTTTTGCGTGCAAAATGGATGTATGTTTGTGTCTTCTCTCTATGTAGTTGTACTCACTGCTTTGAAAACATTTTTTTCTCTTGATTTCTTTAACTTTGCTTCACAATTTTTACCATTCTACAAAGGAAATGCTGTTCAATGTTCAATGCGTATTTTGACTGACAGAAATTTTACCATATATGGCTATTTATTATTATTTTAGGCATTGAATGAATTTTGAAAGTGAAAATAAAAGTTACAAAGATGTCCGAAACTAAAGTAAATTTAATCAATTAATCCATTGAGAAAACGGAACAGCATTTTCAAATCAACTTTTTAGGAGACTTCTTCTTTTACAAACAGTGTTCTGTGCCTATTCTGATTAATTCGATGTGTTTTATTCTACTTGCCTTCTTCCTTGGCTTTCAGAGCCGTACGATTATCCGTCATGGTGCGTCATTTTGGTGTTCAGTGTGCACGTGACCGGAGCCGCCATATTTATTTATGAATGGCTAAGCCCCCAAGGACTAAACAGGGGCGCCACTCCATTGAGAGGTAACGGAGAGGTAAATCTTCCTGTAAAAAAGATGAAGCACATCGTATTTCTTTATTTCTCTTCAACTTTCCAATCAATCTTTCCTCCTATTCTTCCGTCCGAATTTCCTTACTGAGTGTCCGAACAGTATTCATTTTAATTTTTTTAATTCAGTGGATGACAGAAAATATGATTGTGTTTGTTTCAAGAAATATAGCTTTGCAATACTAACACTATCCATTAGGACAAGAATAGGTTTATCCATCATTTTTTTCAATAAATGATTTAGGGAGTGATGTTCAGCAAGGTATTTTGGACGGCTTATTTCTTATTGACATTTTCTCGCACTAAAAATATAAATCTATTAGTGACTTTTATATCTTTATTATTTTAATTAATGTAATGTTATTTTAAATTCAAAGTAATGGTAAGAAATAATTTGGATTCATTTTAATTTTATTTTTAAATGTACTTCAAATTGAAAGTTATTAACCATTTAAAGATTTTACGAGCAAACTCGCATTCAAAATCTTCCTGGATTTTGATCTAGACGATAACCTAAAAAAAAGTTAGTATAAGTGATTGATGAACATAAAAAATGTTTCCTTTTTTATTGTTATAGAACACAGATTTTCCCTATTCCGATCTTTTTGGTTAATCTGGGCTATGCTCTTTGGTGCCTCCGTGTCCACAGACAACCCCCGAGGGGTTTCGAGTAGATTCCTTTCCAACGTGTGGGCTCTGTTCGCATTAGTCTTCTTGGCATCCTATACAGCAAATCTGGCCGCTTTCATGATCACGAAAGATGAATATTACAACTTGTCCGGAATAAAGGACTGGAGGGTATGCTTGTTTTTCTAATCTACGCAATCCGTTTTTTTTTTATTTTGCTGAAAACAGAGAAGTGATTTGAGAGGGAAAAAACTTTTCATCACTTCTAATGCTATATTGCTTTTGATTTTCAGAAAAAAAAAGTGTTTATGAACAATTAAATCGGTGCAGTGAACTGACAACACTTCATAATGAAGTGATTCAGCTCTATGAGAAATTGCAATTTCAAATCAATTTAGAAAATGTGCAATATGGTGAAACAGCAAGAGTACCCTGGAGCATAAATGTTAAAGACAGGAAATATTTTCAGCATTTGTAGGCAGAAAAATAAATTTAATTGTATAGTATGACGTAGGACTGAGTTTCAAAGTATCCAAAATTAAGTTTTGATTAAAAAATTAAGACAAACGAATTGTATATTAATGCGTTTTTTAATTCTTTTTTTCGCGATGCTTTACAAATTTAATGAAGGAAAATATCCTACCTTTCATTTTGATATCGAAATGAAACATATAAGCACTCGGTATATTGTCTTTTATAAACACTTGTTGAAAGAAAGAAAAGATTGCAATCTTTTTCTACAATGCGATTGAATAAAACAGAAGACCAAATTTAAAAAGCAGCATAACACACGATATAGAAAATACCGACCATATTAATGTTTTGCCGACCACTTTTTTGATTAGCAAAACTAGTAAGTTTTTCAAAGCCATTACCTTTGACTTTTAGCTGACCAATCCATACTTCATGAATCCTCCGTTCAAGTTTGCCACTATTCCTAATGGCAGCACAGAGGAAAACCTGAGGAAGAATCATTACAATATGTATAAATACATGCAACGTTACAACAGAGCAACGGTGGACGACGCAGTAAAGGCGCTGAAACAAGGGTAATTATTGTGTCCAGATTGCTGAAAGTGTTGGTTTTTTTTATAGAATTTTTCTTAACATTACTCGTTGCTTTTAATCGCTATTCCTCTCATGTGTACTTGGGAAAACAATCAAGATATGTTACAGCTTATGAATACATGCTTACTCAATGGTTGTACATGTATGTTGGTGATATCGGTATTACCAGATCTAATATTTAAGAAAATATGATTACCAACAAAAGTCACAGTACAAATTAAAAAATCTTGATAACATGTACCGGTAATAATTACTCTTTGCATAACTTACAAATAGTCATATTACCCCAGAATTGACAAGTACTTGTACTACAAATGTACACAAATCTACCACAAAATCAGGTAGTAAATGTTTCAAAGTTTAGTTTATACCATTAAGTTGATGGTGTATATTTATAGGAAGATCCAAGCCTTTATTTACGATGCCACACCTCTGGAGTATCATACGGGAAATGACGACAACTGCGAGCTGAAGACGGTTGGAGAGAAATACGCCATGACAGGTTACGGTCTTGCCGTACCTCAGAAAGCCAAATATCTAGAAGAAATCAACGAAGTCATTCTGGAACTTCAAGAAAACGGTAATCTTTCAGGAAAATCTCAGAACTTGGTATTTAATTATTAATTATGATTAAAATCGGTTTAAACATGAACAACTACTCTTATATGCAGGCGAACTAGAAAGATTAAGAAGATTCTGGTTGGCTGGTGCTTGTCACGTGAAGCGAAAACGAGGCCAATCCAGTCATACTATTGGTATTCCAAATTTCACCAGTGCTTTCATTTTGCTGGCGTCTGGTGTACTTCTTGGTGGTCTGGTGTTGTTATTGGAACATTTGTATTTCAAATTTGGTCGTCGATGTCTCCGGAAATACGACAAAAATATGTGCTGTTCACTTGTTAGCTTGGTAAGTGTAAAGCCCGTGGCAGCCATTTTAAAGATGGAGAGGATGGGACATTTTAACCAGATTTTATTAAAAATTGGAATTTAAAAGAAATAATCAATTTTTAAAAAAGAAAATCCATCCCCTATTTCCTCCAAGTACTACAATTCAGATTATTACGTGTTAAGAAAGATAATGTGACTAATGGGTAAAATAAATAAATACCCACCACTGGCCACCAAAGATTTTCTGCTTACAATGCACAAAGATCAAGTCAAAAAATTCGTGTTTGAAATGATTTATATTCGAGATTTATCATTTCAAGGACAGTCTTTTGTGTAAAAGACTTCACCTGATGCTCATGTTTGTGTTTGTTTTATTTTAGAGCATGGGCCGATCCCTAACCTTTGAACAGTCTGTTATGAAAGCCTTGGCTAGAGAGAAACACAAAGAATGCAAGAACCCTCGATGTGAACTTTTATTGTGGAAGGAAAAGCATCATCATGATTTATCTCTGCTTTACATAAACAAACTCAAAGACCAACTTCAGTAAGTAGACACCTGCACAATATATCGGGGAAAATATAGCTTAGCTCAGGTGCAGAATTCAAATATTTTGTAATTCATCAATTGTTTTGCAGGAGCTATGGAATAACACCAGAAGAGGACCCGATGAAACAACTAGAAATTTGTGATACTTTTGATAAACATAATGGATATCCAACTACGTGTCAATTTCTGCAAAGTCCATTCAAAAGTATAGAAAACAGACACGAATGCCATCAGTTAGACTCTTATGACAGTACGCCCGTCAGGTGGAAAAGGAGGTCCTTAAAGCGATCTCCGAGTTACACAAACGCTGTGGAAGTGCCCGTTCCCGAGATCTCAGAAAAACAAAAAGTGCGATTCAATGAAGGGAAATTTTATTACGAGGTAGACAACGAGGGTTCTGATCAGGAGATACTTTGATCCATTTCTGGATTGGGGTGTCATTGTGTGGGCTCCATTTTAATTGTGTACGTGTGTTTGACGTTTACCTTAGTTGTTAAGGTAACTTAAATGTTGACATCGCCTGTGCAGGTCCATTGCCCAGAGATTGTATTCTTTAGGCCAATTTAAGTCTTTTTTTAAAACAATAAAAATTTGTATTATTATTTGCAATACATTTGGAGGAAATTTTATAAAACCAGTCTAGGACAAAGGCGCAAATAATGCTGAAATAACCTACATTTGTATGATCCTATGTGAAAAGCAAAACCAAGACAGAGAACTGTTTTATTTTGCATTGATGTCATATTCATTATTCCGTTCTAAGTCTGCTTCATAAACTTACAAATATGAACAATTTCAAAACATGGAGATTTATGTCTGTTGTGAAGAAGAGAGTGCGTCGGTGTGAAAATGTTAATTGTTTGAATGCAGTACTAATGTATGATGGGTAAATAAATCATTGTACACATCTTTAGCATAATCATTGAGAAAAAAAACATGAAAAGTATTGTATAGTATCAAGATGACCGTTAAGGTTAATTGACTATTAGTATATCAAGTTCAAAGTAAACTATTGTGTCTCACCAACTGTCATTCCATTTTATTATATGAACTACATTTTCCAACAATGTCCTTTATCCATGAAAAATATACTATATCCAAAGACAAAAGATTTTGAAATTTCTTTGTTGATAAACATTAATTATGATAATAAAGATGACATTTCTCTTTTGTAAAAAGATTAAGTTTTAACTTTGTATCTAGTCGTTGTCGAATGTTCTTGTTTTTAGAAAACGGTTAATTTTATATGAACAATTTCTAAAACGAGGTAAATTATTGACGAACAAGTTGATGAAACAAGAATATCAGCAGTCTCGTTTAAAGTCATTATTCCGTAAGTTCTTTGGTCGATACAATGACCTTGTCACCAAATACAATTTATCATTGAGTCAAAATACTGACTGACGTTTTTCGTACTAATGTTGTTAGTCCATTATTTATACACTGAATTGGCGACGGATTTCTCCGTTATTTCCCGAACATGACAAGGAGCGTACAACGAGTGTGACCGGTCAGCAGGGGATGCTCACTCCTCCATGGCAAGTGATCCCACCTCCGATGTTTTCGAGGTCCGTGTTTGCTCTGCTCCTTTTTTGTATTGTTTTATGGACTTTGATATTGAATACTGTTCTGTATCTCCATATCATTCCTTCAAAGTATTTGAGGAATGTCAAGAAAAATTTCAAGAGAGTGTAAATGAATGTTATTTGTGTGTTAAAGCTCATAAATTATTTCAAATAAGTAAATGCCATGAAATAAAGAAATTCTATAATATGAACAAAAGCCATTCCGAACAACATATCTCAATAATTTTATCTTTAACTTCATATAATTATATTAATGCCATTAGAATGAGGTCAAGAAAAGTAAATTGTGGCTCTAATTAATTTAGAGTTCTTATCATTCAGTAATATATATTATTAGGTTAAAAAGGGGGATCTGACAGAAGAAATTCAGACTGTTATAATTAATAATAAGTTTACGGCTAAAACTCAACGTTTATTTCTTGTCAATTAACAATGGTAATTTCCATTCCTATGTCGATACGATATACCCTGGTGAGCTTAAATTGAGATAAAAGATACCACAGAGTCTGACACATCTGTTTCATATTTGGATATTTTACTTGAAAAAGACGTTAATGGTAATCTAACAACCAAGCTCCATGATAAATGTGATGACTTTAACTTTTCTATCGTCAACTTCCCTTACTTATGCAGCAATATACCTTTATCACCTGCATACGGCGTTTACTAGTATATATCTCAGTTGATTCGATACGCAAGGGCATGCTCTACGTATAAACAATTTCTAAAACGAGGTAAATTATTGATAAAAAAAATTGACTAAACAAGAATATCAGCAGTGTCGTTTTAAGGTTTCGTCAAAGGTCAACATGTCCAAAAATTTATTTTTACAATAGCCCCAAAACTATGTGAAGTGTAAAGTTAAAACTTTTACAGCTTATAATTTTTTCATTGAGTAACAGATAGAAAATATCACTTGATAAAAAAAAATACTTGGAAAAAGTATTAATTGAGAAAAATTCTTTTTAAAAATGCATATATTTTCAAAAAATACAACTGATTAATTCTGTGCTCTTAGTGAAAACCATCATTGCAGAAACAATATATGTTTATCAATGAAGGGCAAGTTGGACTTGGATAGCCTCTGAAAAGTTGTTTTCCCTGTTTATTTTGTCCAAATGTTAAGACTTGAAAGTGAAAGTACATTGCAAATGGCGGGTTCTATAGGGGTCTTGTCTTTATATACATGTCATGCTCTCAAAAACAGCCTTTAAGAGACCATTCACGTCCAACTTGCCCTTCAGTGATAAACATAAATTATTTCTGCAGTGATGGTTTTCACAAAAAGGACAGAATTAAGCAGGTGCATTTTTCTTTAAATATGCACATTTTCTGATATAATTTTTCTCAAAAAATATCTTTTTTTTTTTAAATATTTGTTATCAAATGATATTTTCTATATATTAATCAGTGATATATTTATGAACTGTAAACATTTTGACTTTATACCACAAATAGTTTTGGAGCTATTGTAAAAATAATTTTTTAGACGTGTTGACCTTTGACGAAACCTTAAAGCCGCTTAATCCGAAACAGGCACATATTATCTAACACTATAAAAGTACGTCATTACATAGATGATATATGAAAATAAATTATAAGATTGATTTTATAGTTTATTACAACAATCCTTACACGGAAAAAGTAGATCAAAAACCTTATTGACAAACAGAAGTTCTTGACAGGAAGTTAAGATCTGTTGTGAAGTCATTTTTGAAAGAAATAAATTTATCGGTTATATCTAATAATGAAGATAATTCAAACCCGAGTATTTTTTTATCCAATAAGTCATAATTTATCTTTAAAAAATTAAGAAATTAATTGAATATTATCCATAGTAATTTTTATATTAATATGCATATTTAAAGAATAAAGGAAAATCATATGTTTTTAAAGAAATGAAGTTTAGCTACGAAGGGTAAAATATTGTCCATGTACAGGTATAGTACTAAGTACTTTATTGTGAAAAAACTGCTCGGGTTTGTTCTTCTTGAGATATACATGTAAGCGATAAATTTAATTTTTCGAAGGTGAATTCACGAGATATCAACATAGGATTATTTTTTGTGTGACCTAACAAAAATTATTTTTTTAACTTTTGAATTTTGATATCTTTTAAAAGAAAAAGACTTTGGCGATATAATTTGACAAAAGTTGAAACAATTTATGGACAATTATTTTTCAAGAAGAAAAAGAAAACTAATTTTTAGCGATAAGAATCGGACCAAGCAGCTTTAAGTCATCATTTCGTAAGTTCTATTGTCGATACAATTACCTTGTCAGCAAATACAACTGACTTTTTCATAAGGATTGATAGTCCATTATTTATACAGTGAATTGACGAGATTTTTCTGTTTTTCCCCGATCATGACAAAGAACACACGGCGGGTGTGACCGGTGTCGCATAATATTTGGTCCGCCTCGTTTAAAGGTCCGGCCGGACCTAATACGATAACATATTAGGTCCGCCTGGCTCTATAAGAAAAGGTCCGCCCTCGGCCTTTTATACAAATTGTATGCATGTGTTCATTCGATATTAATTGAAAAACTAATCTTTTAAAATTAATTAATGATATAAAGTCATATTATAATACACTGTAGCTAGTGTTTCCTCCAAAAGAATGTAGTAAACAATAGGTAAGAAATTAATACATAAATAAAGGAATGAATTGTATAGATGTATTGATCGAGTTTCCTGTCGGGAAGATGGGACATGCTTCTTTTGTCGTTTAAATTAATACATTAATGTCAACATTATCATATAAATAATATTTAGAATACAAATGTACATACATTTACCTTCATCGCCTTATTTAGTGGCAGATTAATCAGTATGCAATGAACAGATGAATGTTCGTTAATCCAACACGAATCATTTAGTTACAAGTCTGTTTCCTATAAACATGACAAACGTTCGACTTCCACTCACAAAAAAGTTCACATCTTTCAGAATATATTTATTTATAATATTAATTTTAAAAATCTGTCATTCTATACGTTTAATATTGTTGTCAATAACTGGAGGGTCACTGTGACAGTTGCTTATGTCACGGTATACTACCCTACACCCGTTATTGTAAAAACAACATGCCTCCGGATTGGGCAGTTGGGGATTAGCCTATAATTGTCTCGTTTGAGAAAACCTAAAGTACCATGCACCCTGTGTTTTTTTAAATTAACACTGTTTCTTACCTATTCAAAGGCTTATATCTACTAGATCTCTGCATTTCATTTCCTGAATTTTGGATTGCATTTTCCAACAATTTTTGTTATTATTTCGGAATCCGACAATTATATTTTCATTTCCGACATTATTTATTTACATTTACATGTATTTATTATTTTTTTTTTTCACATTTTCGGATTTTTTAAGGAAACCTTTACGGCAGTTTAAGGTTAACATATATAACACAGATGAAAACAGAATTTTAACAGGGTATTGTATGGGGTACAAGTCAAAACGGTACCTGGTGAAAACGGCACTTGGGAAATATGCAAAACGGCACTTAGGCCTAGTCAAAACGGCACTTGAGAGTAGTCAAAACGGCACTTATTTCATTTTTTTCTATTTTGTTATTTCCTGAGTTGTTTATATGGGAAATTGGTGTTTTCTCAGTTAAATTTATAACATGATATATTTTTATATTATTACTGATAAAAATTTAAAAAAAATATTTAAAAAAAAAAGAAAAAAAATAATTAATTCCTTTTAAAATATATTATTATACAATAGTTAGATTTTTTAATGTTTTGTAAATTATCTGTCAATTATTTTCTACAAACTGGACAATATCTTAATTAATTATGATCCTTTGATATTTAATTTGGTACTGCTATCAATTAAAATAATATGTGTTCAACAGTCTTCTTCTTTGATTGATCAAAGGGATTATTAAGTAGCTAGTGGTTGCATAATTACGGGGGTAATGATGAGACACTGCCGGGAATTTGGGATTGGTGTACCCTGTTTACCATTCTACACTGAAGAAAAGAAGAAGAAAGATGGGTAAGTTATTAGTTAAGAATTATGAAAAATTAGTATTACTTATTATACCTTACAGTTATATATTTTAAACATTATAAAAAATAATATTGTAGTTGGAAATCATTATGTATAGTAGTTCAATTAGTAAAGAAATATTTAGGAAAGTTCTTTAAAATTTAGTTCTTATATTTTTCAAGATAATTAATGGCAAATTTAAGGTAGTTTAAGGTGGTATATATATGCAAAAATAGTAGGCAATAATTATTGAGTTTATTTTTCTAACATTATGAAAATAATAATGTAGTTTGAAATCATTATATGTATATGTAGTAGTTCAGTTAGTTAAGAAATATATTTAAGCTAGTTATTAAAAAACTCTTATATTTTTCATGATGATGCCAAATTTAGGGTAGTTTTAGGTGGTATATATACAAGAATTATAAATTTAGCATTTAAGATGTATTTAATAATCATAAATTTTTGATAATTAAATTTTTATGATTGTGAAAGAAATCATTTAAAGTATTATATATTGCAAAAGAGTAAAGTGATGATTTAGTTAAGATTTGTTTGGTATAGTATTTAATTGATGTATATTCTTAATATCTTAAACTTCATAATTTTCAACATTTTTAAAAAATAAGATAATTTAGAGTTGTATTGACACAAATTTTATAGCATTTTTGTTTTTCATTTGTACAACATATTCAAAATAATGTATGTGTCATATAGTAGAAGTTTTCAACAAATTGGTTTATTCATCTTTTTTTTTTAATTTTTTTTTTTAACTTATTACATGTATATTTTGGGGGGGTTATAAGGTGCCAGTTACAGATGACTAATTAGAAGCCAGTTAGTGAATGTTTACTTAGAATACACATGTAGGAATAAGAAACAAAAGACCATTTCACACCTCCCCCATTCTGCTGATTATCAATTTGCAAACATATACTATTGTGTGTTTCACTATTCTTTATTGAATATTAAAATATGCATTGCACACACTTGTAAAAATCTTAGAAAAACTAATTAAAACTTATGTATTCATAAAATCTGAATAAGTATACATTTTCTAAGTTTCTACAAATTACTATATATAGAAGTGCCAAAAAATTATTTATAACTGCAGATGAAAAATACAATGTTGATATTATAAAATTTAATAATTCATGAAGATATCACTAAAGTTATCAACAATTTGGTTGACATCGAAGTTATATAGAGCGTCTAAGTTGTTTAAAAGATCTCGTTTCATTTGAAGTTGGGATTGTACTTGCTCACACATTAAAATTATTTAGAATTGTTCAAAATCCATTCATCTAAAATTTAAGCATAGTAAGCATTTAAGTAAAATGTGATATTTTGATTAATCGGTATGTCTGTATGTAATCTAAACCCAATTATGATCAACAAAACCAAAATAAAATTTTAAAATATTTAAGAAGAAATATTTCTGTACGAAATTTTAAATGAAACAAAATATTAACTAAATTTTATAAACAATACTGCATCTGAAATTTCTGTACAATTAAAAGAAATCTACTTAAAGAGATAGATATTTCTCAATTTAAACTGTTTAAAGGAACTAAGTATAGATGTTTTAAGTAAACTATTATAAATAATTAATCAACATACTAGCAATAGAAACTAGAAATCAACATTTGTAGCATAGAATAGGGTTGCTTGAGTTGATTCTGAAATTATTCTCAAGAATGAAACTTGCCAACTCTGACATGACAATTCACTGAATTTCATGACAAAATGTCTGAAGAAAGTTATCTCTCTTATCAGAAGATTTGTCTGTCTTATCAGAGGGACATTCCACCTTAAGTAATAGCTAGCATAATGATAAATTAGTACTTGATTATCAATCACTGTTAAAACCTCATTGTATGTTTCCTTACTGAGAAAATTACATTATATACATGTGAATGTTGAAAAGTGATTTTTTTTTTCCAGACAACTGTTTGCATTGCAAAACTACTGTACGTCCCCGACAAGAGGCCATTCAGTGTGATACATGTAATTTATGGCAGCACAGAACATGCAACACTGGTAAGTTCTATTTATTAGATATTTCTTAAGGTCAAGATCTAGAAAATATATTTATTAAATGGTGATCAATGTAATTTAAGAAGCTTTAATTATTTTATATTATATTTTTTACATGGTGATCAATGAAGTTAAAGAAGCCTTAATTATTTTATATTATATCTTTTATATGTCGGATGTAATGCAAGAAGCCTTAATATTCATTTTATATCGTATTATATTTTCAAATTATCAATTATAGGGATCAGCAGAGACCAGTATCGTCGATTGGTGAAGAACTCGGATGAGCTGGAGTGGAATTGCAGCCAATGCTCCATGGTATAAACATAATTTGATTTCAACATATTTCACTGTTTATAAAATCAAAATTGGACAAAAGTTTTATATATAAATATTTTTTTCTCTTTGTTTAGTACATTTATTCATAATATTCATAATAAAAGTGATATTGTATTTCTTATTACAGAATGAGAAGGATGAGCATGTTCTTTGGAGGTGTTCCAAACGGACCAAGACAGTTTCCTGCCCAGCCACCATCACCCAGGATGGTGCTTCATTCAAGCCTGGCAGAAAAAACCACGTTCATCCTGGACAACCTGGAGTGCACATCGCCGTTAAAATCAAGACTAATTAATATGTAGTATTATTCATATTTTAACTTGATTTAATATGTAGTATATATTTATATAAAGTTAACTAATGCAATTTATAGTATAATAATTATAAAATAATACAGAAATTATAAATGATCATAGTTTATGTTTATGTTTTATGCTTATATTTTACTTTTTCTTATATTTTACTTTCTTCCTTTCAGACGGCCTACAACGAGAAGAATGAGGTGTACCGCTTCCTTCGACAAGTCATGTCTCTGCCTTTTCTCCCCCCTGAGCACATCGAGGACACCTTTGACAGGCTTGATGCCAGGGCACCAGAGCAACTGCAACCCATCATGGACTACGTGTACCACACCTGGATTAGAAGTGCTGTGTTCCCCATCGACAACTGGACCGTATTCATGACCTCTGTGAGGACGAACAATGACGTGGAGGGGTGGCACAACCGTTTCAACACGTGTGTAGCCACAAGGGGACCTGTGCCTTTCTACCATTTAATCCAGGAGTTGTACGCGGAGGCCAGTGATATTCCTGTCCAGCTCCGATTGGTTACAGAGGGGAAACTCCAGCGCTACCAAAGGAAGAAGAGCAGGCAGATCCAGGGGAAGCTGTTCAATCTGTGGGAGCGGTATTGCGAGAGAAGCCTGTCTGCAAGTCATCTACTGAAGGAGTGCGCCGTTGTGTATGGACCCCCTGCCCAGTAATATTGATGAACTGAATTAAGGAAGGTGTTCCATTTTCCCGACTGAACTTTATTGACGTGATTGTGATTGTGATGTTTAATAGTTTTGTGATGTGATTTTTGCTGAACATCTTATGATGTACGTATCCTATTGATGATTGTATGAATATGAAAACTTAATTTATATGTTTGCAGTGCATGTAACTATTAGTATTGGTATGAACTTTGAGAACAATGCTATTTTATGATTGCTATATGTGATTGTGATGTTTAATAGTTTTGTGATGTGATTTTTGCTGAACATCTTATGAGAACAATGCTATTTTATGATAATGTAATACAAAATAAAGTTAATATCATCATTATTATTTAAAATAATTTACATTAATAGTAGCTATTACATATTATCAAGTTTTATAGGAATTTACTTATAGATAAGCAAATTAAAAATTATATGCTTGTCTATTTTTAATTAATGAATTTCAAAGTAATAAAAGATGATGTTGTTATTGCTTATTGATGTTTTTTTATGAATAAAGTTATATTAAAAAAACAATGCTGTTATATCTTTACTATAAAAAGGAGGCTATAAGGTGAGAATGACGATATGGATATTAATACCAGAATGGATATATATTTAAAGAAATGAAATAAAAAGAAATTTATTTCATATTTAGTAATTAAATTTGCACATTTAAGGAATAAAAAAATATGTAAAAATATAAGGACATTCACTTATATGTATATATTGTTTTCTTGGGAAAAAAAATGGACCCCCCCCCTTCCCAGAAAAAAAAATTATAAACTGTACATATCTATATGCCAACATGCAAATATATATCAATATATATATCAAATTGTCATTACATATATACTTTTTTCTATAAGTGCCGTTTTGACCAAGTGCCGTTTTAACCAAGTGCCGTTTTGACCAAGTGCCGTTTTCACTAGGTGCCGTTTTGCATAATTTAGGTGCCGTTTTCACCAGGTGCCGTTTTCACCAGGTACCGTTCTAACCATAATTCTATTGTATGTATGCATTATATAATATTATTTATTTCAAATCACGTTTTTTTCGAATCTAATCATTACATACACTCTGTAAACAATATTAAGACTAGTTATAAGTAAAGGAAAGAGTTAAGTCACTGCTATGACTGCTATTTTCGTGAATAAGAGATTTTATGAACACTAATCAATCAACTTGAATTAAATAATGGGGGATTGAATTTATAAAATATAACATATTGTTTATAAATTTGTGTATTTAAAGTGATTTAATCAAAAATAAAAAATATAATACGTTTTCCGTTCCTCGTTTTAGCAACACCCCTCCAGAACCCTTATCATTTTTCATTATTTTATCCATTTCAATATTAGTATGTGAATTGTGGGGAGGTGGATGGGATAAAACGATTGGGTACTAGATACACTCGTATATTTAATATCCTGACCTTGATCGACTGACACGCCCCCTCCCCCAACTGTTTTCAGTGGATACATATAACATTTAAACAAAACAATTTACATGTATCTTTCTCTGCAATGGTATTAATAATACCATTATGGTAATTCAGAAAAAGTATCAAATATTAATTTACATCGCCTTATACAATTTTATTAATAATGTGTTGAAAATAATTTTGACAAAATTTGATAGCCCCCCCCCCCCAATTTGAATGAATATGAATCCAGTCTTTTATCATGTTTATAGCCGGTTTTAAATTTTTACCACTTTGTACTGCAAACTGGCAAAGTTTTGGCTGCAGTAACGACTCATATTTTCTTGGGAGGGGGAGGGGGATAGTACCCTCCCCCGAATAATTTTGCCAATATTTATCGTAGAGGGTCCTATATCGGTGGGGTACCTAAATCGGTGGCATCTCCTTTTGAGCTGATGATTTTTAATGGGAGTTCTGACTTTTTCAATATATGAATGTTACGTAAACAGTAGTTTAAAGTATGTAATGTAAAATTAAAAATATTCCTAGGAATGACGGTGTTTGGTTAACTCAATGACACACTAAATTTATGAAACGTAAACAATTTACATGTAGATTGAAATTACCAATTATTTTTGAATTTGTTGAGAGTATGCAATCAAATACCTATTTGTATTCTTATATTTTCTCAACTGATGACAAAGCAAGTTGCTAAAGACACTAAGAAAACTACGTACGTTTATATTGAAAATATATGATTTTAGTTAGTCAGTCCTCCATGATTTTTCCCCTCGCTTATTTCATTACTACATGTTTCATATGTGTTTTTCTTTTTTCTTTCCCTTTTCATATTCTGATTATGTATATCATATATTCGTACCTCTGACCTGAATTTATATGTTGTAAATATTCTTCATTGTCCTCATGTACCTGAAATGGTTTGAGTGAATAAAATGATCTTGACTTTGAACAGGGGCCAGGTGCCTTAAACAAAATATCAAATGTATATTTTGATTAAAAAATATTCTGTTATTATTTGATTTAATTTCCTATTCAGTTGTACTTGTTGGGAAAAATTCTGTAACTGTTAATTACCTAGTCGGAAAAATCTGACGTTTTCCTGGCTTTTTACCTGGCATGTAAAATATCAAAATCGTAAAAAAGCCAGAAAAACGTCAGATTTTTCGGACTATTAATTACCATGAAATACATGTACATGTAGGACAGGACCCTATAGAAAACATAGCTACTACATGTATATGCCCCAGATAGAAAAAAAAAACATCTGATGACCTTTTATTTTTTTTTTTACTTTCTATGGAATTCTTGGTAGTTGATAATGTAGGTTGTCCCCCCTCCACCACACTGAAATTGCTTCCTATGGGCCTGATCTTTGTTTATTCAAGCTAAGTTGTTGTTTCTTTCTTACATTCACATATCTTAAAATAAGTTTTCCCTCTTTCTTAGTGCAATAATGCTCCACAACAACTCCCTAGGTGAAGAAAAAATGATCATACATGACTTTCTTCTTTCCATATTGACATACCTGTCACTTTTTACCCAATAATACTAAAGAGTTCCAATAAGGGGAGATAACAATTTAACTCCAGCAAATTGGTAACAAGGGGCTAAAATAAGCAAAAGAAAGTTATATGAAGTATCCAAATCAGTTATTCCTCTTCTAAAAAATATATTAGATTAAGAATCTTCTCTTTTTCATTTAAATACCATAGAAATAATCCAAAAATATGGTAAAAAACTGTTATTTAAAATATGTGAAATTGTAGCAAAACATGGTATTTCAAAGTTAATTTACGACATGTAGATATTATTTCCCAAGCTCAATATTTTACTACAAAGTAGACCTTAGATCATTCTTAAAGTAGCAATTAATTTAATTTAATTTCAACCTTGGTCTTGAGAGAAACGAGCATCTAAATATGGCTAAAAAATCATACTCATTTATTTAGGATCCATAAATAGATGTGTAAAAAATAAAATATTTATTTGAATTAAGTTTTTCCTCATTAATTGTGTTAATTGGACCATGACTTTGAAAATAAAATAAAATTTGAAAATAAACTGATGACAAAAGGTAACTTTTTGACTTGATCAATTTGTATACATTTTCCAATAAATTTTGTGTGATTTTCGTCAAATATGCAAATTAGCTGTTACTAAAAATAGATGCAGGGTTCGACATTTTTTTGTGGGTATTCTGACTTCTACCTTTATGTAGAAAATTTTAAGCCACTAAAACTCCCAAGTTGCAACCTTCCATTTGGACGATTTTTTGAATTTTGCATGGTTTTCTCGTGGACTGGCTCTTAAAACAGATTTGTCGCAATTAAGAAGTAACATTCCGCAAACACGCCCGACTATGATCCACCATCAAGTGTCTTTTCCTCTTGATTTACATAAATGAAACTCAAAGAAGGTTCGGTACGACTTTTCCGGATTTAGTGTATACATGGGTACGAGTATTTAAAAATTGTTTCAAATCCATGCTGATTTAGGTGATGCTCTGCGTGTTTTCTAATTGGAAATATCCATTAGTATCTAACTATTACCAAAAAGAGAACGATTTGCTACTATATTTTCAAGTAAAACGGCACATAAAAAGGGCCCATTAAGTGTTGCTTAAGTGCACTTGTCCTTCGCTTGGTATACTAGAATTTCTCGTCAGCATCTAAGAAACAACCTGAAATACGGAGGGCGGACCTTTTCTGATAGCTGCGTTTTAAGGTCCGCCCTGTCCCTTTGTCTAAGTTTTAAGCTATGAAAATAAACCCTGTCCAAAATTTTACCTCTATAACATATAAATATCTGAAATACAGAGGCCGGACCTTTTCTGATAACTGCGTTTAAAGGTCCGCCCTGTCTCTTTCTCAAGTTTTCAAGCTACGAAAATAAACACTGTCCAAAGTTTTCCCTTTAAGACATATAAATATCTGAAATACAGAGGCCGGACCTTTTCTGATAACTGCGTTTTAAGGTCCGCCCTGTCCCTTTTTCTAGTTTTTAAGCAACGAAAATAAACCCTGTCCAAAATTTTACCTTTATAACATAAAAATATCTGAAATACAGAGGGCGGACCTTTTCTGATAACTGCGTTTTAAGGTCCGCCCTGTCTATTTCTATAGTTTTCAAGCTAGGAAAATAAACACTGTCCAAAATTTTCCCTTTAAAACATAAAAATATCTGAAATACGGAGGGCGGATCTTTTCTGATAACTGCGTTTTAAGGTCCGCCCTGTCTATTTCTCTACTTCTCTAGTTTTTAAGCTATGAAAATAAACCCTGTCTAAAAATTTGCCTTTATAACATAAAAATATCTGAAATACAGAGGGCGAACCATATATTATACTGCGTTTTAAGGTCTGCCCTGTCCCTTTCTTCAGTTTTTAAGCTACGAAAATAAACCCTGTCCAAAAATTTTCCCTTTATAACATAAAAATATCTGAAATACAGAGGGCGGACCTTATATTATACTGCGTTTTAAGGTCCGCCCTGTCCCTTTCTCTAGTTTTTAAGCTACGAAAATAAACCCTGTCCAAAAATTTCCCTTTATAACATAAAAATATCTGAAATACAGAGGGCGGACCTTTTCTGATAACTGCGTTTTAAGGTCCGCCCTGTCTATTTCTCAAGTTTTCAAGCTACGAAAATAAACCCTGTCCAAAATTTTCCCTTTATAACAACGGAATTTTGAAAGAATTTATTATACACAACATTTTTCATATAAAAGTTCTGTATACATGTATATACATTTCTACATGAAGCACTAAGTCTAGTTAACAGAGTTTAATGAGCAGGCAATTTTTTTCATCGCATTTGATGTTCACTAAATTAAATGTCAAAGACTGCGCCGAACTTATGTCCAAGACATTTGATTTACTAAACAGTCTATAATTTTTTCTTAATAATTTTTTCATTACCGGAAAGCACTTCCTGAAAAATGTCGGAAATGACTAAAATGTCGGAAATAAAAAGTTTAAAATTTCAACAACAACAAAAAAAAAAAAATCCGAATTGGCATGCAGACTGAAACATTTAATGAAAATCAAACAATTTAATAAATCGCGTTTCACAGATATCAGAGATTTAAAATAATGGCCGATTCTTATCGACTCGGAATTTAAATCAGACACAGATTTAATTCAATTACATGTAGTTTGAATTAAACTAATAGAAACGTGGGGATATTTAAGTTCAATATCGGGGAAAATTTTAATTTGAACATAAATATCAAATCTCATGTAAATCTACGCTTAATTTAGTATTTTTAATTTTTAGCTCAGACATGCCATGATATTTCACTTTAAATATTCAAATTTGTACCATAGTGAGGTGTGATTTCTTTTGTGAAAAGTGTGGGTTTTCTGTACATAACCCACACTTTTCTATAACTCCGCCCATCGAGTCGGGACAAAAGAACTATTTATAAAACGATCATGCACGGTTTTTAAATGAAACAATCATACAAAAATTTGGAGAGTAAAAAGGGGTAAAAATTTCAATTGTATACAGCATTTTGTAATAAATAATAGTTAAAAACGGCCATTAATAAAAAGTGAAGAAAAAAAACTTCAGAAATCGCTTGATTTAAAAAAAAAAAATTAAATAGTGTAATGACTAGGGCTGGGACGATATATCGAGATATCGATATATCATGATACATGTGAGGACGATACGCATATCGATACATAAAAAGAAATATCGAAATATCGCCCATGAAAATCTGACTTCTATTTTTCTTTGTTTATTTAACATTTGGGGTTTAATATATAAAATAAATGAGTTAAATATAAATATAGATATGAAATAATTTCAAATAAATAATAATTAACACCATTTGAGTAAATTATTTTTGTTTTACAACATATAAACAACTATTTTTAATAAATTATTCTTATTTGCAAAAAAATAATTTATTTCAATGCAAAAAAAAAATTTATAGGCAATTTAACATATCGTGATACATATCGTATCGTGGCTCAAATATCGTGATACGTATCGATATAGAAAAAGTTGTATCGTCCCAGCCCTAGTAATGACCAGGGTGACGTTAGCTTAGTAGATATCAATATATCGTTCTTTTGATAACCAACAAAGGAAACACGGTACATACTTGACGTAAAAACAAGTGTACACTACTGTACATAAATAACCTTTTCGATCTAGCCGATCAAATATCTAATTTTCATTAAATTAAAACATAACAAACATTTCAATCAACGTACCACTGTGCACGGCAAAGTTTGTATCAGGTTGACAAAAATTTCAGTTAAACCAAGTTCATAATAAATTTAAATTACTAGTATGTAATTTTGACGATTGAAATTTACGGGAAAAAAAGTCATATCAAATTAACATATATCATTGAAACCAAACTCGTTATTTTTTCAATTACATAAATCAAACATTTTAAAGGGCTTAGATGTTTAATTTTTATGTCGCTTGCGTGGCCCAGTGGTTTAATCACCTGCCCTAGAGTCAACTAATAAGAAGTTGAATCCCACTGTGGGACGTGGAGACCTATAAAGTATAAACAGAGGTCCCGTGTCGCAGGAGGTGTTGACAGGAAGATCCCTTGACTGTTCAATGACCCTGAGTGCCGAGTATAGGACAAAATTTGTAGCAAAATTTGAAAAGTATATTGTATACAAATCACTTACCCTATATTCGATGGACGTGGTCAGAAGGACACGAAGGAGCGTAAAATCATATAAAATCCAAATGCATATTTGAAACCAAACACTTAATGTTTCAATCACGCGAACCAGTCCGACCGATTCCTAAGCTGACTTACATATGAATGATTTTTGAAAACTATGGTACAAGTCATTTACCCCATATCACACTGTTGATTATGTGTAGATACCCGATGGACGTGGTCATAATGACAGCTCGGGAGCTACGCTCCCTCGTGTCATTATGACCACGCCCATCGGGTATCTACACATAACCAACAGTATGATATGGGGTAACTACTACAAAGACTATACATGTATGATTATAATTATTATAAATGTCGCAGTTTTGAAGTGTACGCCTGAATATTTTGTTCCTTAGCATAATTTATTAATTAAAAAAAATCAGATCTATTGATATGTATTTTTAGCTAACACATGACCATTAGGTTCACCGACCATTCAATGACAGCGCCATCTGCCGCGGGCTCTACCTGTGGGTACCTGTCAGGTAAACAAATACGTCACACCCCCATTGTTTTATTAGCTATACACACCGACAGATTTCACACCTTTAATCGTACTAATTTACACAAAGCAAATTCTAGGGAAAAACAAACACTTGCACAATAATTGTGGCATGATTTTTAAAGAAATCATGGTCCTAAACGGCACTGCTTAAAGCACACTAAACGAGTAGATTTTTGTGTAGAGTTACATGTATGTTGTACAAAAAATAAAACACAGAAGGGTAAATCCTTCTTTCATCATAAAGTATAAACAAACGAGCCTTAATTTCATATATTAAAGTCAAGATTAAAACATTTTGCACCACCCGGACCTTAAAACGAAGGGGGACCTTTTCTTATACGGGCCGGACCTTTTCTTATAAAAGGCGGACCTAATTTGTTATCGTATTTGGTCCGGCCGGACCTTTAAACGAGGCGGACCAAATATTATGCGACACCGGTCGGCAGGGGATGCTCACTCCTTTATGGCAATTGTCTGTTCCTATTTTGTATTGTTTTATGGACTTTTTATCTTGAATACCGTTCGTCATCTCCAAATGTTTCATGAAGCAACGCTGTTCCATTCCTATTATATTTCATCATTTACATGTATCGAATTTTGTTACTTGTAATACTTTATATGTAAAGAAAATACCGGTGATTGTTTAAGAAATTATGCGGGTTATGTATTTCTCTGCAACAGCTACGACATTAATTCCCGTCCTAACAACCCAAGAAAGCATTTTATTATTTAAATAGTCATCTATCCTAAGTATTCATACAAACCTGCAGTTGACACAGATTTTGGAAATGGCTGAACACATTTCAGTACCCATTCTGCGAAGCAAGTGACTATGCAACTGTAGCTCTACAAACTTTTTTTTTTTGAAGTTGGGGTCTATTTTTCAATGTATAAAAATAAGAAAATGGCATAAAACAAGCATTTCTTGCTTTTATTATATCTATTGTTCAGGAACATAATACAGAAAGTTTGTAAATAAATAAATTGATCAACAAGGTGTATGCTTACTCCAAATATTTGACTTTTTTCACTTTCCCAATGTAATGTTCTGTTACATAAAGGATGTCATTCTTGTCCACAAACAAATCATGTGGAGTGTACAGATCACAATTATCGATCAGACGCAGAAAATGTCCATCTTTGTCCAAGATGTGGATAAGATGATTCGGACAATCTGCTGTCAGGATTTGGCTCTGGCTGTCGGTGGTTATACCGATTGGATGGAATGTGTTGATCTTTCTGGAATCTTCTTTCAGCTGGTTCTGCTGGTTTCTAACAGCCGATGGATGACCGCTATACCTAAATCTGAGGTTTCCTTCTTCGTTTACCACCAAAACTTCGCCAGCTTCAGAGTCTGCCACACAGATGTCGTAGTTGTTGTTTTCACATATATATTTACTACTATGGTTTCCCGATAATAAAGGATTTCCCTTGTCATCAAATTGTATGATTTGTTTTTCTTTGGAATCCGTCAGTGAATAACGTACAATTCTGCACTGCACCGTCTCTTCTTGTGAAGCTTCATCCCCGTCTTCTTCCAACTCCTCAATACTGTTCATGGTGACTAAGAGGTCTCCAGATGAGGTCACACAGAGATTTTGAGGTTCCCATTCCTCTAGGTACACGATTTCTTTTTCCTGGCCATTTTCTATCATGTTAAGGACAGACGAGACGTTCCTTAATAATAGATAAATTTTTCTAAGAGTTTGTCATTGAAGTATTTCTACTTAAACATGTTTACTCACAAAAAATTGAGGTACCTTACCAGGCATTTCTGCAAGATACCAGGGGTAGTTTTTGTTATATAATCCTTTGGGGAAGAAAAATAATTTTCCAATTTCAAATGTTTAAGTGTTTGGATTGTTTAAAAAGGTGTAGAAACTGGTTTAGAAATCAGAATGTTACTAAAATTTTGAATATTTTTCGTACATTACAAAGATATACAATACAGATTTTGAGGAACGTCTCGTCTGACCTTAATTGTCCCTGTTGCCCAGTCAGAGTAAACCAAATAACCATTACTTGTCACGGCTATATCACTTGGCCATGCATCTGATATTATTTCTATTGATTTTATCAGTGATCCTTGGTTGTCATAGCACTTTATGGTGCTGTATCTTCCACTAACCCAGATGTTGACATCTCTGTAACAAGAAACACTGTACAACTTCCTACTCCCCGTGTCAACAGCCCCAATGAGTTCTGGGTCATCCAGAAGATGCTTGACAGGCATTTTTACTGTGTAGCCATGTTCCACTGACCTAGTTGAAAGAGGTAATAAAGTCCCAAATACTTCGTTAACCTGTTGTCTGTCTATTTCTTTGGGATCAAACTTCGGCCCTGTCACTTCCACTTTTTGAGGAAGTCGAAAGAATTCCTTGTTTCGCGATTTGAATCCCATTACCAGGGCTACATCATTTGATTCTGTGACTTCTCTCAGAGTTTCCAGTGATTGATGAATATCTGAACGTATCTTCCTCATTTCTTCTAAATGATCATGCAGAATATCAACGTGTTTAGTTCTCATCTTTTTAATTTCACCATTCATTTCTTCTACAGAATTTTTAATCTCTTTCTGCAACTCTTCTCCTTGCTTTATAACTGCTTCTGAAAGGTTTTCATATTCCCCATCTATTTTGGCAACTCCAGATTCTATCTCTGTAATTATGGCCTCATATGTAGAAAAGATAATGCTTTCAAATTCACATTTATCCTTTTGTATTATTTCTTTTTTGAATTTGTAGATTTCAGATAGATTTGAGAATGTATGCCCATTGTGTATTTCAGACGAAACACAGTGTGAACAAACAAACATGTTGCACTGATTGCACTGAAATTCACATCTCTGACTGCCATGAGTTGTACACATTGGGTAGATCAAAGTAGATTTCCGCTGACTGAAGGGGACAACTTTATGTTTGGTATATTCATCTCCGATATGTTCACCAATACAAGGCCTGCAAAGGTTGACGTAGCAGAGTTCACAGTGAGTGGAGGCTAAGGCGCTCTCACACAGGTCACAGCGGGGTACATCCTGGGCGCTCAAATGCAGATCCATTGGAGTGTATTTTATTTATCTACAAATGAAAGTTCCAATATTTTATCAAAATGATTAGAAGTAAAATGCAGATTTCAATTCTAGTACATTTGTATTCATCTCAATGCTTAATATATACAGCAGAATAATTTTCCATTTCCATTTTCCCCCTCTGACTGTGACAACTCTTTGAAAGTTGGTAGATTTAATTTCTTGGTCATTCTATGGGCATGTAAATTTCGGGTAGCGACACGTCAGGAGCTAAAGAGGCCTAATAGATGTGTATGTAAATCCCGTGTGTCTGTTTTTGTGGCTGACGGAAAGGATGTCTAATATGCATGTAAATCTCGTGCAGCTGTCTTTGTGTTTGACGTCAGTGGGTGGGTACTATTAAAATTGACATGGAAGGCCTTGTGTTATTTAAATTTATTCGAATTTTAATATCTATATTAACAATTTTTTCACAATGAAATGGAAATATATAAGGAATCGCTGTCTAGTTATAGTATAGTTAAGTATGCCAGGGATATCAACACTGGCATACTTTACCAACTAGACAGTGATTCCTTAAACATTGTCATAAAAGTTACATTACGGGGCATGTTTTTACATTGTGATTCTTATTTATAATTTCAATGAGGACAGCAAGGCCACGGACTCAGGAAAAGATGTCAGTATGGAAATAATATATCCACATTTAAAGATCGAAGCATTCTAAGCACATTTGAAAAGTGAACAAGATTATAGAACTGTCACATGATATTTTAGCATGCTTTAGATGTAGGCCTATCGGATTCCTGTGAAATAGAAAAGAAGAATATTTTCCCGATATTGTGCTTTGATTTGTTAAAATATAAATTAAAATGCCTCATTTGATACAACATGTAACATTTTAACACTTTCTTCCATAAAACTTTGCGTTCTCTAGGACATTTTTCCATACTTTTAAAACATTATTTGAATGTGAGTAAATGTAATCTGTATTTTAAATCAAGGAGACAATTGAACATTTGTTAAAATTCGGAGAACACTCGAGGACCAAAGAGAAACCCAACCTCATAGTGTCATGTATTAGTGTCACTGTGCTCCTCAGTTGACTGCGTACCAGTCCTGGCAGTCCAATCGAGGTTTTGGTTCGATCCTTGTATGGAGCGTCATATTTTAATTTTTAATTTTTTTTATATCAATTTGTTTGTAGGTTTTAATTTATTGACTGATTTATTGAAAGTTTGGAATAAATAAATTATGGATTAGTTGCACCGAAAGCAAAAGGAATTCTTCACACCTACTGAAACTTTAAATGATACAGGGATACCCTATATTATCTTATTATACGTAATACTGTACATAATAGGTGTTCATTTATTTATTTTATTTTTTTTTTTTTGGGGGTAAAGTGTTACTACATATGTTTGTTATCGTAACTAATAATATAAACGAACTATTTTAAATACTAATGTAAAAATTTTTTCAATGTGCATAACTTTATACATTTGTAAAATCTGTCCAGCTGACATGTGGTCAACTGTGTCCAGATCGTGAACATTAAAAATTGTAAATTTTTCAAACATACGATTCCTGTGGGTCACACGCGAAATAAACCTATCTTCTCCTACAGACGCACTGAACAAGTTCAAGGACTCGTCAACAATAAACAAGTTAGCATGTTTTTATCGTGCCTTTGATTAAAGAGTTGACATTTTCACTGTATAATCTTGTACCAATACATACATGTATACATGTAAAACATTCAACAGTTAACGTCAATTTATATCTTTTGTATTGGTGTAAAATAAATGAATCCCGGAATGCAAAAATGGTAGTTCCCAGTGAAACGTGTTAAAAATTCTGTTATAAAATTTACATAAAAAATGTGTATGATATAAACAGATAAGACTAAAAGTTTCCTATATTTTTTTAAACCTTGCGACAGATATTTAACAGATTCTATAAAACTGAATGCATTACAAGTATGTAGTATAAAAACAACAATATTTACCGTTTCCTGTGAAGACCAAAACACATCATTGATTCCTATTAAAATGGCGGGAACACTGCTGTGTCGAAATAGAAAGTAGGCTTATCTCTCTTTGCTCGGTAGGAACACTGATTTTCACTGCCTATTTCTTCAGTGCCATGCATTTCATACGTGTGAAATTGATGCAATGCATCAAATCGGCCGCAAACAAAATTTAGGTATTTTCCTTGGGCCTTTGTTATCTTTACTAAAAACCCATATAGCTCTCAAGAAAACCGGAATTTGGAAAAATAGTGAAATCTTTGTGAAACCCAATGCCAAAGAGTACAAAGTACTTTGATTTCGTGGGTAAAGTAAGTTTTAAAGCTTTGAATTTGTTCGTGTTCGTCCTCCAGCAACTGAATTCTAATTCTTATTATACCCCCCGCTTGAAAACCGTCTGTTACGCTTTGGGGTTCCCCTCTCTTATCCTCTCGTACCACTGAATGAAATTTGATGAGGCTTTCACAAAATCTGTATTACATATTGCCATTGTGCACCTCCTATATATTTTACTTTTTGATCCGACACATATTTTGGGTTTCCCATAGCAAAACATGGACACTGCCATTTTATTCATATATGAGGTGGGGGTTTAATGAGCTCATTGCTCACAGTGCCTCTAGTTTTTGCAATCAGCAGATAATGTTGTAAATGGAACTATAAGATATTTCATTGTTCAATAGCCTAATAGAATACTATGGTTTCTACGTAGAAATGACAACATATCTAGCAGACGTGCATTGTCCACATTTCACTATTGATTATGATTTCTGCCTGATTATGATGTCAGATCTGTTTTATACCGGTACGAGGTTAGATCAGATTAATCGTGTGGTACTTTTTTCTGTGGGATGACTATTTTAGCAATGGCTATGAATGTCGAGTAAGAGTAAAATATTTGAAGCCCTTCATTCTCCAATGGCAATGAGACGTAAAACGACATACAACCAACAACTGTTGACTAGTGAAAAACCATGATGTGATTTTATTTTCATTTTTTAGACCTGAATATAACGGGTATAACAATTAACCCATTAAAGACGTTCACCTCAATAGTTACATTTTCTCATAGAAAAGTTTTTTTTTTAAATTGTCATCATTTCAAATACATCATATTCATTGTAATTTCATGATCTGTTATTTATAATGAGAACTAGATATGTCAGGTTGTTCTTACTTCCTCTATGACCTTTGTAAACTCGGAGTTATATATAACAAACGATTCCGCAGACTTTACATCATTTTGATTCTCAGGTTCAGCTGTGTCGTCCTCAATGCCTTTGACAGTTCGACATTTAAACACATCAAAACGAGGATGCACGATTCCTCTTTCAAACAAAAAGTGAGTCAAACGGGAAACAAAAACAATGGTTGCAAGTGACATCAACATGCAAAGAGTTTTAAAGGGGAACATCTGACCATGCTTTTCTGAGTAGTAAGGATACTTAATTAGAGCATCAATGCCTAAAGTTGGTTCCCCTCCGGCTATCCGGAAAAACATACCGACCACGTATCCCAGTAGAGACCCGTAAGTGTTGGCGTAGTTGAGGTAAGTGACGCAAAGAAGCTGCGGAAAAAGCACCACGTAAACGAGGTCGGAACAAAGATACCATAAAGTATAGACGGACTTGACATTAATCGCCATCACTGTCGCCAAAGCCCCAACACCGAATATTGCAAATCTCATGACCCATATGATTTCTCTTTCAGAAGCCTGGAATTGTACGAAAAAGAAAAATAATTGCTTTAATTTAAAGCACAAGAGACTTAGAAGAAATTGATAAATTGACGAGAAACTATGCAATAAAATAATTAATTTTGCAGTGAAATATATAATTCTAACTTAAACAATATACCTTTTGTCGAAATATCATTTTGTAGATGTTCCTAGCAAACATACAACTGGCAGATAAAATTGAAGAGTCAGCAGACGACATAACAGCAGCAGACACTGCTCCCAGACCAAAGAAAGAGACCCAGTCTGGCGTCAAGTATTGTAGGACGAGGGGTAAAATATCGGATGCCCTGTTTGGGATATCAGATACATTGAAGTTGTCTCTTGTTACATAAGCAGTGCTATTCCAATCTAGAATTCAGAAAATATGGATTACGAAATTAATCGTTTATAATCCATATAATTTTGGCCAAAAGATGATAAGTCCTAAACTTTGAGTGATGACAGGTAAAAGTATTTTATACACTAAAAATGTTGGTAAAGATAATAAAACTTAAACTCAACCAATTTGTATGATAAATTACAATAGGATGTGTATAACATTTTTAAAGAATCAAGTTCACCTGCATTGACGGCTATTGCGCCTAATAAAACCGATGGAACAGACATGATGAGACATCCTAATGCACCTAAAAACGACAAATACTGAGCAGCTCGGGCTGTTCTGGCTGACAACACTCGCTGGAAATAGACCTGCCAGGGTATCCCTCCAAAGATAAGCAGGAGAAATGAGTCAATGTACACGCCTGATTCTTCTTGATCCACTCCTTTGACCCACTCAGTGGTGGAATTCACGGATATGTTTTCTACCACGTCGTTGACCATAGCAAACGGAACACAAATCCACTGCAAGTGCAGCCATTGACAACATGACAGTTTGAACGTCTAGTATACATATGCTTTAAAATTTATGGATTTAAATTACTCGATTTTGTTAATATATACATTGTACTGATCCTAAAATGTAGAAATAGGATACCTGATTTTGGATACCTACCAAACCAACAAATATGCAAATGAGTTGTACGACGTCAGTGTAAGCCACAGAATAAAGCCCTCCAAACAGAGTATAGAAGACAGCGATACAGGCGGAGGAAATGATGGAAACTTCGTGGGAAAGTCCTATAATCACCCGAAGTGTACTCCCTGTAAATTAGCTAGAATAAATATCCTTTATATGCATTGCTCTAAACGTATGGAACATTCCAAAGTCAAACAATGACCCAACCATTGATATGAAACAAGTCATTAAAATACGACTAAATG